CTGCCCAGCTTCTTCCCTGCTCACTCCTGCTTCATCCCCTCTCTTCCATGGGTGTGGATTCCAAAGGCAATTCCCTCATAAACATCCTGCTCCTTAGACTCTATTTCTGAGTCTGCCTCCTGGAAAACCCAGCCTTTTGTGTGGATCCATTGCTCATCCTCCCCCACTTCTTTATTTAACTCCTGATTCCTCTGGAAAGCCTGGGCACAAGGGCGCTCTTGCCTCTTGCCGTCTGTCTTCCCTTCTCTGACGACATTTCACTTCTATTTTAGTTTTTCTGCTACAGGCAAAAAAAAAAAGTGCTGGCTGGTCTCTTGGGTGGTTTTTGAGAGATAGCACATCTTTATCTTTTCACTTCTAGGGCATTATTCTACAGATTTTTTCACACGTGGGTGAGATGACATCTGAGTGCCATAATTAACCAAAACATTGTCAGTAACAGCAAAACACAGGACACACACCAGCGATTCACCAATAGAGAAGTGGCTTCGTAAATTATGGCAGTGATACATCCCCTCAATGCACCGCTATGAAGAGTGAGAATGCTAACTGCTTAATTGGAAACACTCTTCAAGATAATATCATTACATGAAAGAGATCAAGGTGCAGAGCTGTGTGTAGCTCACTGGCCTTTGCATGAGGGTTGTGTGAGTCTGTGCTTGCACAGCGGGAGAAGCATCCTGGTCAATTGTGTGTTGGGGTGCTGGGTGGCCAAGGGTAGTGGTGAGAAAGAAGACTTTGTCTTCCCTTTTGATATTTCAAATTTTTGAAATATGAGGATTATATTAACTTTTTTGAGAAATAAATAGAATCCCACCATAATAAGCTATACAGGCAAGTAAATGTTTTGAGAAAGGTGAGGCTGAAGGCTGTGGTTGCCTGAGCTGCTGGGAAGGCTGTTGGCTGTGTGTCTGGTGGATGGTGGATGCCTGAGCCTGACTCAGTGGAGCTTTCGGGGAGAATGATGACAATGGTTGGGGGTGGGTGAGGGCCTAGACCAGGGGCTGTGGGAGCTAGCTCAGTGTGGAGCAAGGCATGGTCAGTTGCACCTGCCTCCTTCAGAGAAATGCCCTGAGCTCTGCGGCTTTGCAGCTGCTGTGGCAGCTTGGCTAGCAGCAGTTGTGTCTGGCCAGGGCACCTCTGGTGAAGCCATCCTCTTACCAGCAGCCCCAGCCACTCCATGGCTCTTGCTGTATTGCCGGGAAAGCAGAGTGTCGCCGTTTGTTCTGAGTGAGCCATGTAGGGGTGGGGAGGGAGGAGGCCCAGCATTGTGAAACTGGACATCATGATGCTAGTGCTGTGAGACAGTGTTCACACACTTCGTGCTGATGGCTGCCAGATCTGCATTTGCAGCCTGAAACACTCTTTCCCTAGCTTTGCAAGGGGACATGCAGCTGTGTCTAGGACCCGTTTGTGCTGATGCCTCGCAGAAGCCACAATGTCTACATGCCTTAAACTCAACTCATCATCCTCCTGCTTCACTCCACCACACCTGCTCTTCAACTCAACTTGCCTTTCTTGTGAAGGCCAGATATCAACTCTCATTATTTACTCTTCCTTTTTTCTCACCTCTCTGTTTTCTGAACTGTGAATCAGACTGTGTGGCACCTCTGCCTCAAACTCTTCTGAAGCTGTCATACCATGGGACAAATCCCATGTACCTTAGCATACTGTTTATGCCTCTGTGACCAGCCCTCACCTGCCCCTTCTCGCCTTCAACACCTGCCCCTTCTTGCCGTTGCCTGCACAGTGGACAACCTTATCTGCAGTTTCACTTTCTGAGGCCTCCGTTACTCGCAGTCAACCTTGGTTGATTATTTGTATTAATGTAAGATGTTGAAAGGAGAGAGTAATAGAGACTAGATTCACATAACTTTTATTATAATATATTCTTATAATTTTCTATTTTACAGTGAGTTATTTCCTATTTTATTGTTAATCTGTTACTATGCATAATTTATAAATCAAACTTTATCATAGGATGTGTGTATAGAAAACAACATAATATGTACAATTTGGTTCTACCCGCAGTGTCCACTGGGAATCTTGGAATATGTCCCCTATGGATAAGGGGGTACTCCTATGATCCCTCTGCTTGAGGTCTCAGCCGCCCCAACCTATAAGTCTTATTCACTTTTAAAAACTCAGCTCAGGGACCACACTGGTCAGTCCTTCCGTGGTCTGCAGTCCGGAGTGAGTGCCCCGTCCACATCTCCCCCATGCTCCTCCACCATGAGATTCTGCACAGCACTGACCACTCTGTAGATCTTGGTTGGTCTCTATCACCTCCTGGGGTCCCTGGAGGGCATAGCCCATGGTCAGCTTAGCTGTATTGCATAGGCCAACACTGCTGGACACCAGATGGGTCTCAACAGATGTTAAATCAATAAAGTGAAGAAACCCAATCCCCCCATGCTACAGAGGATGAGACTAAGACCTGCAGCTCCATGATCATCGGCCGCCCTGCTAGCTGATGAGAAGCCCAGGCTAGACTCACCTTCCTGGGCTCAGGCCCAGGGCTTTCAGCATGGCCTTTCCCCTGCTGTCTCGGCATTCAAGGGAGTGGAAATACCCAGTCAAAGTATGTTACCTGGGATTTTATTTTATTTTTCCCTCCTTTCTTTCTTTCTTTTTTTTTTTTGAGAGAAGGAAAGAAAAAGGAGTGAATGAGAGGAAGAAAGAGGAAGAAAAAGAGGGAGAGAGAACGGAAATGTTGCTTTATTCTAAAAAATGGATATTAATAATGGTCAATCAATATTTCATTTAAACCTATGAGTAGGTGTGATGTGGTATTGACAAGAATGTATATTTTGTGTATTTGAAGTGGAGAGCTCTATAAATATTTATTAAGTTTACTTGTTCTGGATCTGAGTTCAAGTCCTGGATATCCTTATTAATTATCTGTCTCGTTGAGTCTAAGTCTCTTTATAGGTCTTATATATTTGAGTGTTAGGATTGTTAGCTGTTGCATTGATCCTTTTACCACTAAATCTTTGTTGCTTTAAAATCTATTTTATCAGATGCGAGAATTGCAACTCCTGCTTTTTATTTATTTATTTATTTATTTTTGCTCTCCATTTGGTTGGTAAATCTTTCTCCATCCCTTTGTTTTGAGTCTTCGTGTATCCTTGCATGTGAAATGGGTCTGGATGTAGCATACTGTTGGGTTTTGGCTGTATCTTTTGATTGGGGGATTTAGTCAATTTAAATTTAGGATTACTGCCATTTGATGTTAACTGGCTGTTTTATCCATTCGTTGATGAAAATTCTTCTTTATGTTGATGCTCTTTACTTTTTGGTATATTTTTAGAAAGGCTAATACTGGTTGTTTCTTTCTATGTATAATGCTTCTTTTCCCCCCTTTCAAGTGGCTCTTCCTCAGTTTACCAATATTCTACTGCTATAAATTTAAGGAAGAAGAATGAAAGTGAGTTTGAATTTACTGTGGTCCTTACCTTGAGAGAGTTTCCTTTTAACTTCATGTTAAAAATAACAAGCCTCCAGTGTGGAGACCTAGAATCCCATTTCCTGGTCAAATAGCTCCTGTAGTATTTCTCGGACTGATTTAACAACTCATTAAGGATTTATTACAGCTGGCCTCCTCCCACACACCTCTCTAATACTGACAGGACTGGCCACAGGAGAAAGAAAGTGAGAAATTGTCTAAAAATAAAGAAAACCTGCAAACCTATCCATAAGAAAGCTGCAGTCTTCCCTTTGGGCTTTGGTGGGGACAGATGGGGAGAGGAGGCTGAGGCTTCTGCAGTGCTGTAGCAGGGGCAGAGACCCTCACATGTCCTTTCCCAAAGCCATCTGGCTGCTCCACTTGGCTCCAAGCACGACTTCTGGGGTCACAGCCCTGGCCAGCCAGAAAAGGGGCCATTTTTGATGTGCTGTCATGACTCCCCTGGCTGCTCCATCTCATCAGCTGGGGGGAATCCATGCGTGGGTGGTCGGGTCCACACAGGCAAACCAGCCTGGGGAAGATGTTAGGATAGGGGTTCTGTATTGGCCAGCTCAGGCTTCCATAAAAAAATACCACAAAGTGCGTAGCTAATGCAACATACATTATTTTCTCACAGTCTGGAGTCTGAGAGTCCAAGATCAGGGTGCTGGCTGGGTGGGTTCTGGTGAGGGCTCTCTTCTTGGCTATGGATGGCTACCTTCTCACTGTGTCCTCCCATGGCCTTTCCGTGACGTGTGAGTGGGAAGAGAGCTACACGTAGCTCCTCCTCCTCCTCCTCCTCCTCCTCCTCCTCCTCCTCCTCCTCCTCCTCCTTTCTCTCCTCCTCCTCCTCCTCCTCCTTCTCCTACTTCTTCTTCTGAAGTCTTGCACTATCACCCAGGCATGATCTTGGCTCACTGCAATCTCTGCCTCCTGGGTTTAAGCAGTTATCCTGCCTCAGCCTCCCGAGTAGCTGGGACTACAGGCATGCGCCACCATGCCCAGCTAATTTTTTTGCATTTTTAGTAGACACGGGGTTTCATCATATTGGCCAGGATGGTTTCTGTCTCCTGACATCGTGATCCTCCTGCCTTGGCCTCCCAAAGTGCTGGGATTACAGGCATGAGCCACTGCACCGGCCCCTCTTCTTCTTCTTAAACTGTTACTAATCCCATTAAATTAGGATCTCACCCCTATGCCCCCATTCAACTGTAATTTCCTCTTAAAAGCCCTATTTCTAAATGATAGTCTTGATGATGATGGACTGCCTATATCACAGTGGTCCCATAAGACTGCAAAAGAGTTGAAAAATCCCTATAGCTTAGTGACACCACAGCCATCATAATGTTGTAGCACAATGCATGACTCGTGTATTTGTGGTGATACTAATGTGAACAAACCTACTGCATTGCCACTGGTATAAAAGAATAGCACATACAATTATGTACAATACATAATACTTGATAATAAACAACTATGCTACTAGTTTATGTGTTTACTATGCTCTATCTTTAATCTCTATTTGTAAAGATTGTTTACTGTGAAACATCCTCAGGCAGGTCCTTTGAAAGGTATTCCAGAAGAAGTCATTGTTTTCCAAAGAGGTGACAGCTCCGTGTATGTTATTGCCTCTGAAGACCTTCCAGTGGGACAAGATGTCGAGGTGGAAGACAATGATGGTGATGATCCTAACCCTGTGTTGGCCTAGGCTAATGGGTGTGTGTCTTTGTTTTTAATTAAAAAGTTTAAAAAGAAAATAATTTTAAAAATAGAGAAAAGCTTATAGAATCTGGATATAAAGAAAAAAAATTTGTACCACAGCTAGTGTTTGTGTTTTAAGCTCAGTGTTATTACAAAAGAGGTAAAAAGTAAAAAATAAACCTCAAGATGGCTGACCAGAGACATTTTGTACTCACTTCCACAAAGAAGAACCCCAGTAGTGAGCAGATAATCACCTTCCAAAAGATCAACCAAGAGAGAACACTGGCATTCAACAGAGAAGTGACAAGAAACATCCAAAGGAAGGAAAGAGAGGGAAGCAAGGCAGCCTGCCTGGCTAGGATTACCTGGGATCCTGGAGAGACTCCCCAGTGCAAGGAAAGGGTTACTGAGAGGCCTCAGTGGTCCACAGTCCCACCATGGACTCCTGCAATCCTAGCCATGGTAGAGCCACTTGACCTTTACCGGAGCTGAAGCTAACACAGCTGCCTGGAGGCAGTGAGATGACATTGCTCCAGAGAGGAGCAATGGGTCCTTACATGGGTTCCACACTGCTCTCTCCCTCCCTGCACAGTCCTAAGCAGCTACAGTAAGGTACCACTTTGAGATCCTAACCCCCAGAAGACTGCATCCTGCTCAGCCATGTCTGCATCTTCATATCCCTGGAGCCCCAGTGATGTTCCCCACCTGCAGCTACCACTGTAACTGGCTGCTGCTCCTGGGGCAAAAGCATGGGCCACTGGCTGTAACTCTGCTGCTTCCACCATCACAGCCACTATGTACTTTCATATGCACATAGCGCCCCTAACCCACAGCCGTCATTGCTGCACTGTGGTGGCTGAGGTTCAAGCCAAACGTGGGCTGGTGCCACCTGCACTGAAACATAAGCCATAAGTATGTGTTCTCCAACCACCTGGCTACAGCTGCTACCACCGAAAGTAACCACATTTTCCCTAGGAGCAAGGCTAAAGTGAAGCCACTGCCACCCTCAAACCAAATATTCCACTGTGGGCCTGGGAAACACCCTGCCCCAGCCTAACACAGCTACTGTCTGTAGGTATCATTGTGGGGCCTGAGGACAAGCTTGCCTGCAATCCCCCATGCCAGAGCATGCTGTCTAGGGGCCTGGAGATCTTCCAGAACAGTCTACAGCCATTGGCATCCTGAGGCTGAGCCCACTCACTGTGCCACTAGCACACAGTTGGCACTAACCTGCACACACCACCTGCAGGTCTGGAGACCGGTCCACCCAGCCCATCACAGAAACTGCCAACACTAGTATGCATGACACAGGGCCCAGAGGGCTGTTCTACCACTGCTACTGCCATCACCCACACGATTCCTGCTTCTCAGGGGCTTGAGAACTCACACATCCATCTGCTGCCATTCTTTGTATTTGAGCAAGCCACCTGGATGCCAAAGAATTGGCCTGTTTGAACCAGTGATACCTGTGCTAATGCATGCTGCTCTGGACCCCAAAGACAGGCATGCTCAGCCCACCACTGACACTACTGCCGAAAGATTGGCCCACCTGGCATCCCAGTCCCCATGAAAACTTCACCATATTCTTCACTGATAACTGGACCCTAAGCCATTGAGGAGATCACAGGCACCACTGATGCTGTTTACAGCTAAACAAATCATACGGAGGCTATACTACTGGATGCACTAAGAGTCAAAGCCAAAGTGCCCCACCCAACTAACACCATAGATACATCTTCAGGAAAATGCATTCCCCATGAGAGAAAACTTAAAAGATTGGAAGAAAGTGACTACTATGCCAGATGCACAGATATCAATGTAAGGACACAGGAATCACAAAAAAGCAAGAAAATTTAATGCTCACAAAGGAACACAATCCCCCAGCAATAGATTACAATCAAAGTAAATTTATGAAATCCCAGAAAAAGAAATCAAAATACTGATTTTAAAGAAGTTCAGTAAGATATAAGAGAATACTGAAAAACAGTAAAAAGAAATCAGAAAAACAATTCAGAATATTAATGAGAAATTTACCAAAAAGATATATCATGAAAAAGAACCAAACAAATTTTGGAACTAAAGAATTAATTGAGTGAAACATAAAATATGTCTAAAAGGTTCAGCAATAGACTAGATCAGGCAGAAAAAGAATTCCAGAACTTGAAGACAGGCCTTTTGAAATAATCCAGTCAGAAAAACAACAAAGAAAAAAAGAATAAGAAGAATGAGCAAAGCCTACTTATGATATATGGTATACCATAAAGTGACCAAATATTCAAATTCTTGAAGTTCCAGAAGATGAAGAGAAAATAAAAGAGTTAGACAACCTATTTAACAAAATATTAGATGTAAATTTCTGAAGTTTAGCAAGAGATTTAGATATCCAGATACAGGACACTCAGAAAATGCCAAACAGATGAAATGCAAAAAGATCTCCATGGCACATTATAATTAAACTGTCAAAAGTCAAAGATGAAGAGGGAATTCTAAAAACAGCAGGAGAAAAACCTCTAGTCACTTATAAAGGAACCCCATCAGACTAACAGCAGTTTTCTCAGCAGAGACCTTACAGGCCAGGAGAGAATGAGATGATATATTTAAAGTGCTGAAAGAAAAATAGTGTCAACCGCAAGAACAGAAAATGAAATACCACATATTCTCACTCATAGGCGGGTGATGAAAAATGAGAACACATGGACACAGGGAGGGGAGTACTAAACACTGGGGTCTATTGGGGGGAAAAGGGGAGGGACAGTTGGGGGGGAGCTGGGGAGGGATAGCCTGGGGAGAAATGCCAAATGTGGGTGAAGGGGAGGAAGGAAGCAAAACACTGCCATGTGTGTACCTATGCAACTGTCTTGCATGTTCTGCGCATGTACCCCAAAACCTAAAATGCAATAAAAAAAATAATGTCAACCAAAGATATTATTTCAAGCAAAGTCATCCATCATAAATGAAGGAGAAATGAAATCTTTCTCAGACAAGCAAAAGCTGAGAGAATTTGTTACCACCAGACTGACCCTACAAAAATGTTCAATGAAGTCTTACACCAGAAGCAAAATAATAATATCTACCATAATAAAAACTCATGAAAATAATTTCACTGGTAGAGGAAACACACAAACAAGGAAAAGAAAATACTCAAATTTACCACTACAGAAAACAGCCAAACCATAATGATAAACAATGAAACAGAAAGAAAGAAACAAAGGATATACAAAACTACCAATGATCAGTTACCAAATGATAGAAATAAGCTCCCACATATTAATAATAACCTTGAATATAAATGGATTAAACTTTCCCCTTAAAAGATATAGATTGGCTGAATAGGTAAATAACATGGCCCAACTATTTCTTACAAGAAACTCATCTTTCTTAAAAAGACACATATAAACTGAAAGTAAAGGAATGAAAAAAGAGAGTCCATAAAAATGAAAACAAAAAGTGAGTAGAAGTACACATACTTACATCAGATAAAACAGAGTTCAAGTCAGAAATGGCAAAAAAGATAAAGGTTATTATATAATGATAAATGAACTATTCAGCAAGAGGATATAATATTCTGAACATACATGCACCTACTCTAGGGAACCCAGATGTATAAAGCAAATATTATTAAATTTAAAGGGAGAGGCCAAGTGTAGTGACTCATGGCTGTAATCCCAGCACTTTGGGAGGCCGAGGCATGTGGATCACTTGAGGTCAGGAGTTTGAAACCAGTTTGGCTAGCATGGTGAAACTCCATCTCTACACAAATACAAAAATTAGTTGAGTGTGGTGGCATGTGCCTACAGTCCCAGCTTTTTGGGAGGCTGAGGCAGGAAGATTGCTTGAGCCTGGCAGGTGGAGTTTGCAGTGAGCTGAGATTGCAGCACTTCACTCTAGCCTGGGTGACAGAGAGACTCTGTTAAAAAAAAAAAAAGTGAGAGATATACTTTAAAACTATAGTAGCTGGGGACTTCAACAGCTCACTCTCAGCATTAGACAGATAATCTAGACAGAAAATGAACAAAAAAATTCTGGATTTAAAGTGCACATTAGACTAAATGGACCTAAGAGACATTTACAGAACATTTCTTCTAATAGCTGTAGAATACATATTCTTCTCATCAACACAGGAACATCTTCAGGTTAGTGCATATGTTAGAACACAAAACAAATCTAAACAAATTAAAAAAAAATCATATCGAGTATCTTCTGAGATCACAGTAGAACAAAATCAGTAATCAGTACCAAGAAGGACTCTGGAAACTGTACAAATGGAAATTAAACATGAAAATTATGCCCCTGTATGACCATTGACACAAGAAATGAATTAAGAAGGAAATTTAAAAATTACTAGAAACAAATGGAAATCAAGCACAACTCACCAAAACTTATGGATACACGAAAGCAATGTGAAGAGGGAAGTTTATAGTAACAAATGCCTACATCAAAAAAGTAGAAATATTTAAAATAAACAATCTAATGATGAACCTCAAGGATTTAGAAAAGCACAAACACACCCAAGTCAAAATTGATAGAAGGAAAGCAATAATAAAGATTATAGCAGAACTAAACAAAATAGAAACTAAGAAGAAATTTCAGGGACCAATAAAACAAAATAGAAAGTAAGAAGAAATTTCAGGGATCAATAAAACAAAATAGAAAGTAAGAAGAAATTTCAGGGCTCAATAAAACAAAATAGAAAGTAAGAAGAAATTTCAGGGATCAATAAAACAAAAAATTGGATTTCGAAAAGTAAACAAAATTGAGGAACCATTTACTAGATAAACCAAGAGAAAAAAAGAGAAGACTGAAATACAAAATCAGAAATAAAAAAGGAGACACTACAATTGATACCAGAGAAATACAATAATTATTAGAGATTATTATGAAGAACTAAACATGAACAAATTAGAAAACCTAGAAGAAATGGATAAATTCCTGGATACACACTATATTGAATCAGGAAGAAACAGAAAACCTGAACAGACAAATAACAAGTAGTAAGATTGAAGCAGTAATTAAAAAATCTCCCAACAAACAGATTCCAGGACTAGATAGTTTCACTGCTGAATTCTACCAAACATTCAAAGAAAATTAATATTAATTCTCTTCAAATTATTCCAAAAAATTGAAGAGTAAGGAATTACCCCTAACTCATTCTACAAAGCCAGCATTATCCTGATAGCAAAACCAAAGACACAATGTATTAGTCCATTCTCATACTACTATGAAGAAGTACCCAAGACTGGGCAATTTATAAAGGAAAAAGGTTAAATTGACTCACAGTTTCACATTGCTGGGGAGGCCTCAGGAAACTTATAGTCATGGTGGAAGGCAAAGGAGAAGCAGACACCTTCACAGGGGGGCAGGGAAGAGTGAGTGCAAGCAGGGGAAATGCCAGGTGCTTAGAAAAGCATCAGATCTTGTGAGACTCACCCACTATTACAAGAACAACATAGTAGAAACTGCCCTCATGATCAAATTACCTCCACCTGGTCCTGCCCTTGACACTTGGGGGTTATGGAGATTACAATTCAAGATGAGGTTTTGGATGGCGACACAGCCAACCCATATCATTCTGCCCCTGACTCCTCCAAAATCTCATGTCCTCACATTTCAAAACACATTCATGCCTTTCTAATAGTCTCCCAAAGTCTTAACTAATACCAGCATCAACCCAAAAGTCCAAGTTCAAGGTCTCATCTGAGACAAGGCAAGTACCTTCTGCCTATGAGCCTGTAAAATCAAAAGCAAGTTAGATACTTCCTAGATAAAATGGAGGAGCAGGCATTGGGTAAATACCCCTGTTCCAAATGGAAGAAATTGGCTAAAAAAAGGGGCTAAAGGCTTCACACCCAAGTCTGAAATCCAATAGGGTAGTCATTAAACCTTAAAGCTCCAAAATGATCTCCTTTAACTATGTCTCACATCCAGGTCATGCTGATGGGCTCCCACAACCTTAGGCACCTCCACCCCTGAGGCTTGCAGGGTATCCCCCACTCCTGCCTGCTTTCACAGTCTGACATTGAGTGTCTGTGGCTTTTCCAGGTATGTGGTGCAAACTGTCAGTGGATCTACCAGTCTGGGGTCTGGAGGAAGGTGGCCCTCTTCTCACAGCTCAACTAGGTAGTGCCCCAGTGGAGACTCTGTATGTGGGCTCTGACACCATGTTTCCCTTCCACACTGCCCAAGCAGAGGTTCTCCATGAGGGCTCTGCCCCAAAGCAAACTTCTGTCTGGACATCCAGGTGTTTTCATACATCCTCTGAAATCTAGGAAGAGGTTCCCAAACCTCAATTCTTGACTTTTTGCACTTACAGGCTCAACACGCCTGTAAGCCACCAAGGCTTGGGACTTACACCCTCTGAAGCAAAGGGCCAAGCTGTACTTTTAGCCATAACTGGAGCTGGAGTAGCTGGGACACAGGGCACCATGTCCTGAGGCTGCACAGAGCAGGGGGTTCCTGGGTGTGGCCCATGAAACCATTTTTCCCTCCTAAGCCTTGGAGTCTGTGATGGGAGGGGCTGCCATGAAAGTCTCTGACATGCCCTGGAGACATTTTCCCCATTGTCTTCCTGATTAACATTCCGCTCCCCATTACTTATGCAAATATCTGCAGCCAGCTTGAATTTCTCCTGAGAAAATGGGTTTTTCCTTTCTAGTTCATCATCAGGCTGCAAGTTTTCCAAATTTTTACTCTAAATGATTTCTCTCAAGTTCAAAGTTCCACAGATCTCTAGGGTGGGGACAAAAATGCCACCAGTGTTGTTGTTAAAGTGTAACAAGAATCACTTTTGTTCCAGTTCCCAAGAAATTCCTTGTCTCCATCGGAGACCACCTCAACCTGGACTTCATTTTCTATATCACTATCAACATTTTAGACACAACCATTCAACAAGTCTCTAGGAAGATCCAAACTTCCCCACATCTTCCTGTTTTCTTTTGACCCTCCAAACTGTTCCAACCTCTGCCTGTTTCTTAGTTCCAAAGTTGTTTTCACATTTTTGGGTATCTTCACATCAGCATCCCACTCCCGGTACCAATTTACTGTATTAGTCTATTGTTACACTGCTATGAAGAAGTACCCAAGACTGAGCAACTTATAAAGAAAAGAGGTTTAATTGACTCACAGTTGCACATTGCTGGGGAAGCCTCAGGAAACTTACAATCATGGTGGAAGTCAAAAGAGAAGCAGGCATCTTCTTCACAGGTGGCAGAATGAACTGGGTGCAATGGGGGAAATGCCAGATGCTTATAAAACCATCAGATTTCATGAGAATCACTCACTATCACAAGACTGGTATGAAGGAAGCTGTCCCCATGATCCAGTTATCTCCACCTGCCCTTGACACATGGGGATTATGGGGATTACAATTCAAGATGAGGTTTTGGGTGGGGCACAGCCAAAGCATATCACACAACAAAAAAGACAACTACAAGCCAAGATTCCTATTGAACATAGATGCAAAAATCCTCAACAAAATGCTAGCAAACCAAATTCAACAGCACGTTAAAAAAATACATCATCATTCCAAGGATGCAAGGATGGTTGGACATGTACAAATCAATAAACCTGATACATTGCATCAACAGAATAAAGAATAAAACCATATGATTATCTAACAGATGCAGAAAAAATTGGTAAAATTTTGAGTACAATTAAAAAAAAATGTTTGTGCCAGGCACAAAAAGACAAATGTTGCATGGTCTCATTTATATGTGGGAGTCAAAAAATTTGATCTCATGGAAGTAGAGAATAGATTGATAGTTATCAGAGGCCACAAAGGGTGTGTGGGAGGGGATAATGAAGGTTGGTTAATGGGTACACTGATACAGTTATATAGAAGAGATATGTTCTAATATTCAACAGCAGAGTAGCCGACTATAGTTAGCAATAATTTATTGTATATTTTAAGGTGTCTAGGAGAGAGGACTTGAAATGCTCCCAACAGACAGAAATAATAAGTATTCAAGGTGATGGACACTCCACGTACCCTGACTTGATCATTACATTTTATTCACATAAATATGTAAAGTTATGTGTATCAAGAAGAAACTTAAAAACAATTAAAAAGCCTGCAAAGTAAAAAATTTACAGTAAGCTAAGGTAAATTTATTATTGAAGAAAGAAAAAATACTTAAAAAGTAAATTCAGTGTAGCATAAGTGTGCAGTATTTCCAAAGTCTCTTGTAGTGTGAAGTAATGTCCTAGGCCTTCACATCACTCACCACTCACTCACTGACTCACCCACAGCAATTTCCCGTCCTGCAAGCTCCATTCATGGTAAGCAGTCTGTACAGGTGGATCATTTTTTATCTTTAATATTTTTACTATACTTTCGACATGCCTGTTTAGATATGTTTGCATACACAAATACATTATGTTACCATTGCCTACAGTATTCAGTACAGCAACCTGCTGTACAGGTTTTTAGCCAAGGAGCATATAGCTTATGTGTGGAGTAGGCTGCCCTATCTAGGTTTGTGTACATACACTCTATAATGCTTGTGCAATGACAAAATCTGCGAACAACATATTTCTCAGAGCATATCCCTGTTAAGAGATGCATCAGTGCATAGCCACATTGGGAGTAAGGGCTTCAATATATAAATTTTAGGGGGGCAAAACTCAATTCCTGAAAGCTCCCTCCTTGGAGGGCTTGGGGATGTTGACTGGGAAGGACACAGGGAGCTCACAGAGGTGTTGGGAATACTCTGTATCTGGCTATGTGGGTGCTTGTAGTATGACTGCATACCATATAAATAACTGAACATTTAGGCTCTTCCCTCTATGTACATTATACCTTCAGAAAACAAAACTACTTGAGAAAAAGGTTTAGAGTTACATTTCAAATACAAATGGGACATTATCAGTATGTCATGCAGACTTTTGAAGATCTCTGAGTGTTGACAAAACAAACATCTTTGACATCTTTGTTGACAAGCAGACATCTTTGCTGGCACTGAGATGTCTCATTATTGACAAAATGTAGTTCCTTGGTAATAATCATTGATTGTTTAGTGATCAGAAAGCAATATATTCAGCATTTTACATGTTAGCATGTTATTTTAATTGTATTAATGGATTAGGTTTATGTAGGAAATTGGGTTTGATGTTGACATGGACCAAATAATTTTTCCCATTTAAATATTCTATTTACTTCACAGGTTCCTTGTAAGAACCAGAGAGGGATAATGCACGTAAAGAACCCAGTCCTGTGCTGGTCCATGGCAAGTGCTGAATTAATAACAATGTTAATTACAACAGAAGCCCACGTGTATGATGTCAGGCCCAGAGGATGATGTGGAGGAGCAAGATGAAAAAGTGAGTAGGGCAAGACACGGGTAGGGGCCTAGTTATCAGGGCAAAGGCCTGAGACAAGGACTGGCTGGAAGTGAGGTTAACCCTGAATTCCCTCTTGTTTCTTGAGACAGATCTTGGGAATTGGGGTCAGGACTGGGTCATAATCAGGGCCCTAGATGCCAGGTCTGGGGGAAACTGGGGTGTGGGACCAGTTGTGGGGCCTGGCAGCACCCAGCTTGTCTCATACAGGCTGAAGGGACCTCAACCAGCAAGGGTCAGCTCTGAACTGGATCAGAACGACCTTCTGGCTGGGGCTCAACCAGTCACTTATTTCTTTCTTCTTTTTTAGTTGGGTGCATTATTGGATGCCCAGTGAGAGCAAGACACCATTCTTGCAATTATCACTGGGGGTGTATTAAGAGGACAAGACTATTTACTCCCAGTTTTGAAAGAAGTATTAACATTTCTTTCCAAAAATTGTGGATGTCTTAATTTTTCTTTTAATTTTGTTCATTAAAAGAAAATGTATTTTATTGGTCTATTTTGGGGTTTTGTTGGTGGTGCATATAGGCAAGTAGTCTCACTTCCTGGTGAATTCTTCTTTTCATTATGCAATAAACCTCTGTATTTCATTTAAGAATGTGTTCTGTGGGGAGAAATGCCAGATATAGGGGACGGGGGGATGGAGGCAGCAAATCACCTTGCCACGTATGCACCTATGCAACAATCCTGCATGATCTGCACATGTACCCCAGAACCTAAAGTACTATTAAAAAGAAAAGAATGTGTTCTGCCTTAAAGTCTATTTTATATAATATTAGCATACCTGTGTCCAACTTTTGGTCTTATTGTCTTCTTGAAATATTTTATCATTCATTTATATTCAACATTTGGTCATTATATTTTAATATATAATTGTGTTTTATTTTGTTTTTAACAAAATTGGATGTTTTCTATCTTTTAATTAGCTAGTATAGCAAATTTACACCTGTTGTGATTAAAGATACATTTTGGTATTTTTCACAATCATATTTTCACTTTATTATAGCTTTGCTTCTTTCCTTTCTTTGCTACAAACTGATTTGAGTTTTCATTTATTGATTACTTGTGATTTTTTTCCTACTTATTTAACAAAATCTAAGGTTGATGGTTTTTCTATCTTCCTCTCACAAAAGACATCTTTTATCTTAGTTTTTATTCATTATTTTAGTTTTGCCTTTTTGAAACTTCCTATTAGTTTAGTTATTTTGCGAATCTTAACAGTCAGTATTTACCAGCTCATTTGCTTATTACACTTTACTGTTAAGTCAGTCACTTTTCTTCTGAAAGTCATCCTATTGTCATTTTTTTCCATCAATATGTTGTATTAGTCAAGTCCGTGTCTTCTTATGGCTATAACAGATTACCTAAGACTGGGTAACTTACTAACAATTGAAATTTATTTCTCACACCTCTGAAGGCTGGAAGTCCAAGAACAAGGTGCCAGCAGGTTCAGTTGTCTGGTGAGGACTGTTCTATGCTTCCAAGATGGTGCTTTATTGCAGCATCTTTAGAGGAGCAAATGATGTGGCCTCACCTGTTAGAAGAGAAGGAAAGGACAAAAAGGAGTAAATTCCCTCTATCAAGCCCTTTTATAAGGGCACCTAATCCCATTCATCAAAACAGAGTCCTCATGGCTCAATTACCTCCCAAAGGCCACATCTCCCAATACTCCAGCATTGGGGATTAAGTTTCAACATAAATTTTGGAGTAGACAGAAACATTCAAACCATAGGATGTCAGTATTTGATGTCTGAAAATGTCTTTATTTTGTCCTCACTCATAAATGCTAGTTTATCTAGTTCAAAGGTATTTCCCCCAAGTCTCCATTGCCTTCCAGCCTTGATAGTACAGATTGGGAATTTTTCTAATTGTTATGCTTTGGAGGTAAATTAGTCTTTTCTTTATGGTGGTTTTAGAATTTTTTTCTTTGCTTTTGGTGTCTTCCATTTTCACCATGATGTATCTGGTATAGACATATTTTATTAACCCTCTCAGGACTCACTGCTATTTCAGTCTGAGATTGAACTCAGTCTGAGGATTCATGACTTGAATCAATTCTGAAAGACTCTCAGTCATTATTATTGTTTTTTTTACACATGGCTTTTCCTCCTGTGGCATAATAAAGAAAAATAGCTAGTTTTTGCCCCATCACAGAGCTTCAAAAACCATTGGAATTTCCAGCATCATAGGAGTTGTTTGTTATACTAATTAGGTGACTCATGGCAGCCCTGAGATAGCATCAGGGTGGAGGCTGGTCAGTAGAAAGGCCAGTCATGTGATTACTGGATTGAAAATTTGGGCAAGCCCAACCTCTGACCTCTGGGTAGTGGTGTAGGGCTAGAGATTGAACTCAGTGACACAGCTATCATACCTACATAATGATAGCCCAATACAATCTCTGGACATGAGGCTCAGTGGAGCTTCCTGGTTGGTGAATGCATTGATGTGCTGGGGATGATGCAGTTGGATTCCATCAGAAGAGGGCACCAAAGCTCTGTCCTGCACCTCTCCCCACCACCCTTGCTCTATGTGCCTCTCCATTTGGCTGTCCCTGATCTGTATTCTTGATAAGAAAACAGTAACTGTGAACTATAGGGCTTTCAGTCAGTTCTATCAGTTGTTCTAATGAATGATCAAACCTGAAGGGGTTGTGGGACCCTCTGGATTTATCAGTCAGTCAGAAGTGTGAGTGGCCTCTGAGACTGGATGTGAGATCAGTTTTGTGAAGGGCTGAGCCCTTTAACTTGTGAGATCTGATGCTCCCTCTAGGTGGCTAGTGTCAGAATGTATTCCAGTCACCTACTAGGAGTGAAAACAAAACATTTTGGAAATTGTAGCCAGCCAGGAAGAAGTGCAGGTGGCTTGAGGACATCTGAAACTTGTGGCTGATGTCTTAAGGGGGGCAGTTCTGTGAAGGACTATGCCCTTGATATGAGGGGGCTGCACTAACTCCAGATTTCTAGTGTCAGAATTGAATTAGATTGTAGGACGCCCAGTTGGTATCAGAAAATTGGTGTCAAAATATAACTCCATTGCCTAGGTTGCATTTTTCTGGAGTTCCTATTAGAGATATATGTATTAAATCTTCTTTTTTATCTTTTGTGATCCAGCTTCTCTTTTATATTTTTCTTCTCATTATCTCTCTGTACTGGATTCTGGCTAATTTCCTCAGCCCTATTTTCCGGTTAACCAGCTCTCTTTTGAGCTGTGCCTAATACGCTATTTTATTCAGCCACCGAGTTTTTAATTTTAGTGACTACATATTTAATTTCTAGAAGTTTTAAGGGATTCAATCTTCCCTTTTCTTCTTATGTTTTATGGTCCTTTTATCTGTTAATCCTTTTAAATACAATTATTTCACTATAAACTTCCGATCTTGCTAGTATCTCAAGTTCTAGTGCATGCAAGTTTATCCCATATGCTAATTCTTGCTCATGCTGATTAAAACAGTGATTGGCACCTCAGTTTCTGAGGTTCTCCCTCCATGCCCCACCACGGGACTCCCATCCAAGCTGGCTTATGGAAGTGCTTGGCATCGAGTGCTTTGTGTTTTCTTCTCCTAGGTATCTCTGATCCTGAACCATTTTAGTTAATTTATTGGTCAAGTGATTCCTGTGCCAAGCAAGTGGTATAAATTTGAACACCAAGTTCATGTGAGATATAGGGCTAGGATTTTGGTACCTCATAAGGGAGTTCCTCCAACATCTGCCTCCAGAGACCAAACAGAGAAAAGTTTTATTTTTATCTTCTTGGGTCAGTGGGTAGATTCCTGTCTCCCCTCGTTTCTGCCCATTTCTATTTTATTGAAGGTATAGCCCTCGAAGTGTGCTGGCTTTAAGTAGGTGACTCTGTTCTACCTTCTTGCCTTTGGAACCCAAGGACTATTCTTCTGACTCAGTGAGGGCATTAAAACCCAAGCCCTCAGACTTTTATTTTCCTTATTGAAAGCATATGACTCTTTAAACCCATGTGATCATCTGGCTTTTAAATCATACTTTTAGTTGAGCTGCGTGAGTAGAACTGACTGCTTTGAATACTTGCTGCACAGCTGTTATCTGGGGATTTCTTTTCCTTGCTTTCTTGGTAGGTTCATTTTTTTAAGAAAATTGTGAATTACTGCTCTATGAATTGCCCATTTTTTTTTCTGTAGTACTCCCTCAAGCAATTTTTTTCCCAGAAAGGGTATATGGGAGAAAACCTTTTTGAGATTTCCTCTCTTAAAACCTCTTCAATTCCCCTTACGTTTGATTGATAGTTTGACTGGGTATGGAATTGCAGGTCAAATTGCTCCATTCTTCGTGGCCTGGACTCAACCTCTGATTCCTCCATTGAAGGATGAGATAATTAAGGGGACTGATAGACCAATGTGTGTGATGAGGCTGGCAGAGGTCCTGGCTGGCAGATGTCTGGCTTAGGTCTATCGAGTCACAGGGCAAATGACTTAGTGTGTCAGTGACTTATTGAGGCTGTCCTCTAAGAAGAAACCCAGAGGAAAGTCAGGGAAGCAGGATATGGTGGGGAACACTAAACAATGATGTGGCTCCAGCCTCAGCCTGATCCTACGGGAACTCTGCAGTGCGAGTGCCAATACTGAGCTGTCCCATTTTAAAGTGAAGGGGCCCAGGTTGTGTACCTCTTATCAATCAGCCAACAGCCCGCTCCCAGGAAGGAAGGTGTAACTTCTCAGGGGAGGGCAGTCCTCTGGGCAGTGCAGCTATGAGTCTAATCATCACAGCAGCTGGGGGTGGGGGCTCTGCAATCGACATCTGGGTGGGTGCCAACAGTGTTATTTCAACATTTAACAAATGATTGTGACTTTTCCTCTTCTCTCCCTAGCTGTGCCTCGTTTGATGATATATGCCATTGTGAACAGTAGAGAATAGGTGATGCCTGTTCTGGACAAATGGGCCTCATGTTGGTCAACCGCAGAAGAGACTGCAAATTCCTGTTTTGGATGTTACTGGGAGTGCCAGAAGAATATGACATGCGTGTGTCACATTCAGGAGCCTGTGGGCTCTAGGTTGGAGTGTTGAGACCATTCCCATCTGATGATGCACTGGATGAGCGGTAGGCACAGTGAAAAGCAGAGTGAGAATAGGGAGGTAAAGTAGGGGAGACGTAGGGACCAGAGTAGAGGTTGAGTCCAGGTGAAGAAAGACCTTAAGCTGTGAGCAACAGGGCATTGCTGATGAAGCCAGCCAGAAGGAAAAGATGCCTGCCCCCAAACCATTAGAGAAAATGGTGGCCAGAATATTGACCAACTACTAGATGTTCCTACAGGAGTCAAGAGATCAGTGAGGACTTTTGGGGACTGTGAGGTCTTCTGGGGACATTGGGATCTGAGCCAATCTCTCGGGGATGAAGAGGACTTGGGTTGGGGAAGGCATTCTAGTCAGAGGGAACAGTGCAGGCAAAGGCAGGAGTGGGGGCTGAGCTCAGCATCCTCAGAGCATCACAAGGAGCTGCTCTGTTGGGCAGTAAGTGCCATCTTGCTGTTGAGGAGGTGGCTCCAGGGTGCAGTGGAGCCCTCACGTGGGTCTGAATCCTGCCATTATGTCCCCAGCAGAGTACCGCATGTGTTGGAAAGGGCAAAATTGTTTTTTTCATATGTAAGCTAAAAAAGTGGATAATTCCATGGGGCCATGGGAATACCCGAAAGGGACAGGAACACCCCAAGGCCTGGGAGCTGGGGAGCTTTGGTTCTTTGTGCTGCCAGGATGTGGGAGTTCAGAGACCAGTCAAGGGGAGCAGCAAGATCACCATTCCTGGAGGGGTCCTACAGTTTTCCCTCCTCAGGAGAAGATGACACTCACTGGGGGAAGTCTAGGTGTATAGTGTGGGTGGGAGTAAAGTTGGCCAGCTGCAGAGGAGGTCCCAATTTCTGGTAAGTGGCCTGTCTTTGGATTTGTATTCCGAGGTGGCTTGCTCTGTGGCTCCATTCCCATTGCTGCATGAACATGTCCACGCTTTCTGTTACTGGCTGAGCTGTGTCCCTTGTATTCATCTGTGGAAGCAGTAAGTGCCATCTTACTGTTCTAGCCCACAGGACCACAGAATGTGACTGTATTTGGACATATGACCTTTCAAGATGGGATTAAGGGAAAATGTGGTCATATTTTCCCACATTTGAGAGCTCCCCTTTTCTGGGCTCCCTCAGGCCCCTTGCCTCCCTTCTCAGAGCAGTGACTGGCCCTGGGGCAGGGTCTCTTGGTCACTATCCCATCAGCTGGCATGTGTGCTCCCTGGTAGGGGCTGACTTCTCTACCTCTGTGTAGCACAGTTCTGGCCCAGCGCTTGGTGAGTGCATCCTGCATTGGCTCAGATGTGTTGATGGCTTCTCTGGGCATCGGAGCCTTTCCTGGCTGCCTGCCACACCCTTGCGTGTGCTGTGCCTTCTGCTGCTTCTAGACTGACTCCCGCTCATCTCTGCAGGGCCCGCATTGGCATCACCTGCTCAGAAGCCTCCCCTATTGGGCTGGAGTTCCACTCCCCTCTGTGTCCCCCACAGCTCACTGGCCCCTCTGTTTTTGGCACTGCATGTCATGACTCTTTCTGCCATGCCAGGAACTTCCTCATCTTTGTGGCATCACCTGTTGTTCACTGCACTGAATGAGCTGCCCTGGAAAAGGGGTAAAATCAGGAAAGAACTGGCCAGTCTGTAACCAGAACTGAAAGGAAATTAGAGAGTCCAGAAATTCTTGGGTTTTCTGGGTTAGGAAATCAAACTATTTTTGGTCTTTAGCCTCTCCCAGAGCAAGAGCAAGACACAGCCTTGTTAAGACTTCTAAAAGTATGAAGGTGGCACTTTATAGAGTCCCTTACCGGAAACAGAAGGGCTCCTAGCAAGACAGAAGGCATGGTCTCACTGAGCCCCATGCTGCCCAAGTGCCGGAATGCAGTCTAGACAGCAGGGTGGGTCTTGTGAGTAAGCTGCAGCATGCTTGTTGGCATATGGAGGGAGCCACCATCAAACACATGGAAAACCCAAGTGTCTGAGAGAGTTCTGTTGGCAAAAGTACTGCCAGCCTAAAAGAGATGCTGATGGTTCAAGATGTGAATCAATCTCTAGGTTCTTGATTTGCTCCAGGCAGCGGAAAACTGAGAAAGCTGCTCAGGGCTGTAGAAGTACATGTTCCCCAGTGCCCTCATTGCAAGGGATGGGGGAGGATGATGGAGAAGGAAGGAGCCTTCTTGGAGTGGACCCAGGAGTTGTGGAGAGTGATGGCAGGAACTCTGTCCACAGGGAGCAGACCCAGGGCCTGATCAGAGGGTAGTCCCTGCCCTTAGGGCCGGGGGCCTGGCAGTATTTTCCCAGGAGTATTTTGAATTTCTCTGGACAGTTGTAGTTCTTGGTATCTGGATAAAGAGGAGTTGTGGACTTGCTATATTTGCAAGACCCTGCACCTCAAGGCGACTCTGTGATGGGGTGAGACTTCTGGAGCATCTTGGGAAAAGCATGTGTGTTTAGCATGTGCACAGGAAATGACAGGACAAACTGCGGGAATTTAGATTACTATTCAGCAAACATTGGCTTCTTGTCTCTCCTACTAGAGACAATATATTCCCCCACTCCATGGATATATGCTGACTTTGGTCACAGGACTCCCATTGACCAATGAAATGTTGGCAGTTCACGGATGAGAAAGGCTTGAAATGTGCTTGTGGTGTTTGATTTGTCTTCTTGCTATCTTCACTTCACATGGTCTTTCCCTTGGGTCACCGTCATTCCTTTCCTAAATCAGATTTGAGACCAAGCCACAGGGAGAAGTAAACCCCAGCTAGACCCACACTGAGCCAAGCTCATCTTCAGTGGTGATGAGATCAGCGCCCTCACCCAACTAACTAGCATCTGTGAATGACAATGCATGAGTGATGATGTTTTGAGTGACAGAGTCTGGAGTGGCTGGTTATGAAGCAATAGCTGACTAATACACCTTCCTTCCAGGGAGAATAGGTGGTAACCAAAGAAATCACAGCCAGACCTGTTTTCTGGGAGCAGCAACTGAAGAGGCTCACAAAACAGGCTGTAGTGGAAGCAGACAGAGCTGTGGCCCTTGATCCTTGAGCAAGAGTCCTTCTCTCAGTTTTCACTTGGCCTCCCTAGGCTCCAGTCTGAGTCCCTGCAAGCTGTTCTGAGAATAATGAAAAAAGGAGGATGATGGGGCCATGGGTTCGCATAAATACCCTAACAGGATCATTTTCTTTAAGTTAAGATGGAATGTGTCTTGTTCTTTTCAATTACAGGAATAATAAACATTCTCTTCTCTTGATCAATTTTCCTAACCACAGGCAATTCCATTAACTCTAAAATGCCTAACATGGACTCGATGTACTGTCCCCATCACGTTGCCATCAAAGCTGCCAACCGACAGTTATAGTCAGTGTTAGTTTTGAGCTACAGAAGGGAGATTTGATTTATCAAAAAATCCCGCACCCATGTGACAGATTTATGGGACCTCAGCAAATGTTTTTTTAATGAAATTATAATTTTAAATACTCCTCTGAAAATGGTGCCATTAAATCTTATGTCAGCCCATGTATTTAAACAAAATTCAAGTAGGCTTATTGTCTTCTCTTTCCCTTGATAATTAATCAGACGAAAGTTGATCTTTAAAATGGAGTTAGCAGTTGCCTTAAAAAATACAAATTCTTGATTCTTTTTCCTAATCTGTCTGTCCCCATCTGCCTGCAGCCTCTGACTGGGTCTTTAGGGGGTCAACGCTGCCACTATTGGATGAAGTCTGACTGGGTCTTTGGGGGGTCAGTGGTGAGTTTGCTCAGATAAACGTAGTGTAAGTGGGACTTGTTACATTGTCTGATCACACTGCAGTGTGCATAGTTCTCCCATGTCTCCCTTACCAGCCTGTGAACTCTCCTGGGGTAGGAAGGAGATCATGTTTGTGTTTGTGCCCCTAGTGCCTCTGAGGGTGTTCTACACAGATGGGTGCTCCATTGTTGATTAGGACTGAATGGCAGAGGTTAATCTCCAAAGGCCTTTGGGGAATAAAAGCCCCTGATGCATGAGTCAATCACATATGCTCAAATTCAAGCACAATTGCTATTGGCGCCCATTTACCATAATCAAGGATGAGCGCTGGAGTCAAGAATGTGCATGGCAAGTCAGGGGAAGGAAGATGGCAGTGGAGGCCCTGCTCAGGAATGTGGGCTCTTTCTTGCTGTTACCTTGTGTCCAAGCCTGACTGGTGAAGACATGAGTGGGATGCCCTGTTGTCAGGGCTGCAGCATCAGGTGGGGATGGACAGCCAGGACATGCTCTTTCTACACCCTGTGCCCCCACACCACGACCGGCTTGTTCATGTCTTCCCCTTTCACTGCCAGGAACAAGCAGCATGAAGGCCAGAGGCTCTTCATCTCCATTTTGAGCTACAAAAACACCCAGCCAGGCTCTGAAACTCCAACTCAGAGGGTCTCAACTCAAGTTAGTCCAGAAGCCATTTATGATTCTCTCAACTCACTGATCTAGTCCTTCCCTGGATCCTCACAGAACTCAAATTAGGTCTTGGTGAGACGCTGATTATAAAGTCACCCAGTGCTTGCTTATATCTCTACACTTTCTTCTTAGTGAATTAGATTGTGGCAACAGTTTCTGGTCTCCTTCCTGCATGTTCTGTCAGTTGTCTGTAAAGTGGGGTGTTTGGGCTTTGAAGTGGGACAAGCCCACGCTCACCCCATAGCTCTGTCACCTGCCTGGATTTCCAGATCTGATAAGTTCCTGAGAGCTGAGCCCTATGAAAAGGCCCTAAGTAGGGTGGTGGATGGAGAATCCCTAGGTCTGGGGCTGCCGAGACATGGTCAGTCACTGCTAGAGGCTCAGGGCATGAGGTGTGATGCAGGCGTGGTGACCTGGCTCATGGTGAAGCTGGAGTGCTTCATGGTGAAGCGGGGGCTGCAGCACCTTGCTGCTCTCACCTGGAGACTAAAGTCCCATGGGAGCCAGCCCACCACCACAGCTTTTTCTCAGGTGTGTCTTTGGGAGTAAACCGGAAGGGTGAGGGTGGTGTGGGGTAAGGAAGCAAAAGACCCCTGAACCTTGAATGAGTCTAGCTCATTCTTCTCCAGTGCTTAATGCTCATGTGTGGCTGGGTGCTGCTCTGCTGCCGACTTCTCAGAGTGCCAGTGAGTCTTCTAGCAGCTGAGTCTGATCAACACGATGGGCATCCTCTCCTTTCCCTGCCACCTACAACAGAAGGAGATGGTGCCACATCTAAGAATTTAGTTGGGCCCCTCCGAGTTGGGATTTCAGAGCCTGGCTGGGGTTTTTGTGGCTCAAAGTGGACCTGAAGAACCTCTGGCCTTCATGCTGCTTGTTCCTGGGGGAGATGGTGTGGTTTGGAGATGGGGAAGGCAGGTTTAAATAGAATTGACTGAAGGCCATTGGTTTGCACTGAGCTCCTGCCCTAGGCCCCACAGATGGGACCAAACCAGAATCAAGTCACTTGTGTTAGGTGCCGTGTCATAAAACTGAACTTGAAAATGGGCCAGTTTTCTTTTTAAAAGTAGGAAAAATTCATCACAACCAATCAGAAGGGGCCTGGTGTTCCTGAGCTGCAGGCAAAATAAGGAAGTCCCTCTCTTTTAACCCTATTAGGAATGTCACTTTGAAACCACCCAACTGTCTTGTTCTCTGTGTCTGCTTCCTCTTCCCTTTTTGTCTATAAAGCCTACCTGCTCTGCTCAGCTCAGTGGAGCACCCATTTCATATGTAGGATGCTGCCTGATTCATGAATTGCTAATAAAAGCCAGTTAGATCATTAAACTCATTTTGCTGAAATTTTGTCTTTTAACAGTGGGGAGAAGGAACAAAAAGAAAGAAACAGCCTTGCACAATCATCAAATATACTAACTCCTGAGTAGAGCAGCTTTGTGCATTTTGGGAAAGTTGGGAAAATGATTTTTGTCTTCTTATAGTTTTATGTAAGGAGTACAAACTCAAGGGCCATTAGCACCCTTGGTCATGCCTGGTCATTTCTAAGCTGTGTGGGCTGTGAGGTGTGCAGCTCTTTTGCTTCTGCCTAGACACTTTCTGTCATGGGCAGATACTGTGGGAGATCCACTCACAGGCCCCTCTGCTGCAACCCAGCACAGACCCAGGGGTCCTGCAACCTCAGGGGCAGAGCACAACCCAGGTTACACAGGGGCAAGGCAGGGCCCACCCCCGACCCTGCGCACCCACTCCCAGGGGACTTGAGCTGGTGCAACCAGAATATTTGCAAGGCCCTCAAAATGCCCCCTCCTACGTGACGATCCACTGGCTTCCTGCTGCCTGTTCTCTCTGATCTGAAGCCACTGCTGGGATTCAGCTTTGGAGACTACATTAGACCTTCAGGCCTTCAGATTTTCTCATCAACAGCCACAACTTGGCCATGGCTTTGAGGGGCTTACATTTCCTTTTTCAGAGTGGAGTTGCAAAGTTCCCAACCAGACAGTGTTACTGCTTAACTCTCTCCTGCACATTTATGTTCATTTAAAAATGAGGAGAAAAAGGGCCCTTGATTTCTCCTCTCCACCCACCCGCGGCCAGGGGCTGCATTCTGACATGCAGTCACAGCTTTGCAGACAACAGCAGCTGGTTGCCATGGGCACAGATTCCAGGGAATGCTGGGAAAGCCATTTGAGTACTGCCTCTTCACCTCCTTTTCCTCCCTCTGCCCATGGTGAACTCTGGGTGTGTCTTACTTGGGTGTGCATTGTTTCCATGCCGTCCAAATGGCTTTGCTTCCTTTTTATGTATCCCAAAATGATGGGATGTCCTGTTTTGGAAAGCTGAGCACTAAGCTCAAGCCTAAGAAGAGGGCAGCACTGCCACTGTTGGATGAAGTCTTCCAGGGGTAGAGAAGCTGGGTGGAGTCTCGGGGTGAAGTCTCTGGGTTGCAGTCCAGCTTTAGCTTCCCTGAACATTTACAAGAGTCCTTGAGAAGAACAAGATCTGGTTGGGCTGCAGCCTGTACCTCTAATGCAGTTTGGATGTTTGTACTCTTTAAATCTGATGTTGAAATGTGATCCCTGATGTTGGAGGTGGGAGGCGTTTGGGTTATGGGGTCGGTTCCTTCATGAATGGCTTAGTGCCAACCTCATGGTCATGAGTTACCCACAGATCTGATTGTTTAAGAGTCTGGTGCCTCACTCTTCTCTCTCAGTCCTGCTCTTGCCGTGTGACATGTCTGCTGCTCCTTTGCCTTCCACATGAATGGAAGCAGCCTGGGATGCTCACCAGATGCAGATGCTGACACCATGCTTCTTGTAAAGCCTGCCGAACTGTAAGCCAAATAAACCTCTTTTTAAAATAAGTTACCCTGCCTGAGGTATTCCTTTTTTTTTTTTTTTGAGATGGAGGTTTGCTCTGCCAACAGGCTGGAGTGCAGTGGCCTGATCTCAGCTCACTGCAACCTCCACCTCCTGGGTTCAAGCTGTTCTTCTGCCTCAGACTCCTGAGTAGCTGGGATTACAGGTGCCTGCCACCCCACCCAGCTAAATTTTGCATTTTTAGTAGAGATGGGGTTTCATCATGTCAGCCAGGCTGGTTTCGAACTACTGACCTCATGATCCACCTACCTCAACCTCCCAAAGTGCTGGGATTACAGGCGTGAGCCACTGCCATACAGCCAGACAATGGACATCTGGCAGAAATAGGGTCAGAAGGAGCCTGCTTTTCCACATTGCCTCCTTCTCGGCTCACCACATGCCACTTCCAGGAGCTCCACCTCTGGGCAATGTGTCAGAGCAGAAGATGCTTCTGTGGGCTGAGACAGTGCTCTGGGCTGATCCCAGCAGCAGGCATGGAGGAAAGGGGAAAACTTCACCAGCACATGGAACAGACCAGGCAAATACACACAGCAACCTAGGCCTGAGTCACCCAGGCCCTTTGTCTGGAGGTTGAAGAAACCCCGCAGTGTGCATCTTGGTGGTAGCAGCCCTTCAGTCACTGCTCTGGCATGAAGATATGGAGGTACTCTGTATCTGCCACTTCATTTATCCTGGGGTCTTTAATTACTTCTCTCCTGTTGGAGAGCTCTTCCACCTTTTCTTGGCTTCCTTTTTTCCCCCCCGCTCATTCATTCTAATTTAGTGGAACACGTTCTCTAGCTTTTTACCTTTTGAGAAAGGGTCCACTAAATGTATATTTTTTTGAAAACTGCACATCTGACAATGATTTTTCCTCACTCGACACTCAGATGTATAGTTTGGCTGAATATAGATTTCTAGGCTGAAAGAGATTTTCTTTCAGAATTTTGAAGGCAACCCTTTACTGTTTTCTTCCTGTGTTACAGTAAGAAGGCCAAAGCCATTTTGACATATGATTCTTTGTTTGGGCTGTTTTTTTGTTTGGGTATTTGTTGACTTTTTCTTTGAATCAGGTGATCTGAAACTCCACAAAAAGGGGACATGGTAGAGTATGCTTTCATCCATTGTGTTGGGCTAATGGGTAGGCCCTTTTAATGTAGCAGTTTATGAACTTCATTTCTGGGATAGTTTCCTGATTAATTTCATCGATTATTTCCTTCCTTAGATTTTCTTTTCTCTTTCTTTCTGGAGTTCCCGTTATTTACATGTTGGATGTCCATTAATGTGCTATTTTATTTTCTGTTTCCCAATGCTTGTTTTTGTACTCTACTTTCTTGAATCCACTTGGTGGATTGGTTGGTTTGCAGTGGAAAGGCACACTTACAGGTGAGTGTGAGATTGCTTGCAGTCTCTAGGAGTTAGCTAGCCTTGGGATGGGCAGGCCTTCTAAGGTTAGCAAGGTCCCAGATGTCAAAGCATCAGAATCTTGTTTTTAAATATTTCTATTAAATTTTTCATTTCTGCTATCATACTTTTAATTTTCCAAGAACCCTATTTTGTTTTCTGAATGTTCCTCTTTAAAGCATCCTGTTCTTGTTTCATAGATGCAGCATTTTTCCTTATCTACGTCTGTTGAGATATTAGTTACAGTCTTTTTTATTTGTACAGTTTTTGTTATCCTGAATGGTCATCTGTTTATGATAAAAAGTGGGAGTTTAAACAGGTGACAGAAGTCTGAGGGCCTGGGTGAGTCTTGTCAACTTGGAGCTTCACTGTAGTACTCATTGGGGAGCCATTGATGGAGAGTACATTTAGGTCTTTCTTTTTGGGCTTTGTAGAGTCCACAGAGAACAGTCCTTCAGTTCCTGTACAGAGGGCTGTTTTAAAATATGGATTGGAGGCCAGGTTCTGTGGCTTGTGCCTATAATCCCAGCACTTTGAGCGGCCGAGGTGGGTGGATCACCTGAGGTTAGAAGTCCAAGACCAGCCTGGTCAACGTGACAAAACCCTGTCTTTACTAAAAAGAAAAAAACCAAAATCAGCCAGGAGTAATGGTGCATGCCTGTAATCCCAGCTACTCAGGAGGCTGAGGCAGGAGAATCCCTTGAACCTGGGAGGCAGATGTTGCAGTGAATGGAGATTGCACCACTGTACTCCAGCCTGGCCAACAAGAGTGAAATCCCATCTCAAAAAAAAAAAAAAAAAGGATTGCATTATTTTCAGGTGTGGTGAGGCCAACAGATCAGGAGATGTGTACCATTGAGGAACTAGTTTGTTATACTCACAATTGCCAAGAGAAGGGGCTTGGCACACCATGGAGACCACCTGGGGAAGCACCGGGGTTGGTCAGGAGGCAGAGGAAGTGGAGGATACCACACCTGGCAGACAGTACATCCAGATGCAGGGTGCCAACAAGCAGCAGTGCCTTGCCCAGCAGTGGGTGCCATCTGTGGATCCAGTTAGTGAGCCTAGAACAGCCTAAGGCATATTATCTCCATGTGGCATCAAGCCACATGTTCACTGTGCTAGTTGCTTTAAAGGTACCTGATTTGTTTTGATCAGGGATAGACACACAGGCATGGAAATGACTGTCATGATGGAAGAAGTTTTTTATACTCATAGTTTCCTGGAAACAGGCGGCAGGACGTGCCCTACAGAGCCGCATGGGGAAGCAGCAGAGTGGGTCAGGAGGCAGAGGGAGTGAGGGGAAACTGTGGGCGAGGGCCTTTTTTGTGGTTTCTGTGGGAAGGAATGGGCGAGACAGTGTAAGTAGGTTTAGCAATGGGTAGTTTGAATGACCTCAAGTGACGTCTGCTGAAAAGGGGCTGAGCCCACGTCTGGTCCCTGGTGCTGAGAATATCACAGTAGGTGGGTAGTGATCTGGAGTGTGAGAGCTCCATAAATAAGGTGGTTGGAATTGTAGACTCTGGATTGGTTGGTTTGCAATGGAAAGGCACACTTACAGGTGAGTGTGAGATTGCTTGCAGTCTCTAGGAGTTAGCTAGCCCTGGGAGGGCAGGCCTTCTAAGGTCAGCAAGGTCCCTGGATGTCAAAGCATCAGAATACAGAAAATAAAAAGAGATGGTTAATGCAAGGGTCAGAGTCTCACTGCTGACATTCTGGATACAGAGGGCCAGAGGCCTCTACGTTAATCGTGCCACAGTCATACAATCACCCTGACAGCTGTTCTGGTTCCAATATTCACGCTCTTGCCAGTGTCTGGCACCCCCACTGCAAGCTTCTCCAGAAGGGGAGGAGGGGCAGTTTCTAGGGGCAAGAAGTGGGGAAGGGGCTTCTTATGCACTCCCCCAGCCCTTTCCTTTAGCCTGTCCCCATCTGCCCACAGTGCAGAAGACCCTGGCACTGCCAGCCCATGAGACATTTGAGCAGTGGTGGATGAGGTTGGGAGCATAGGCAACCACAGGGAGGAGAATTTTATCAGTGCTACCGTTTAAAATTGCCCATGTGTGGTGGTAAGAGCCACAGACTGACTGGTTGTCGGTTTCATTCTCGCTTTACTTTTTCTGTACATAGTGCATGCTCTTACCACTTGCAGCAGACGCCTATGGCTTCTGCGGCTGTCCCTGCCCCTCCCCTGCGGCATGCCACTGGCCTTCAGGATTCTGTAGCATCACTTGGGATGGGTCTCCTTTTCCTCTGTTGCTGGCTTCAGATCTGTCTTGGGTCTGCCAATTTAGTCACCTCCAGCTACTGAAATTTAATTGCTGCTGTCTTCTCTCCTGTTCTCCCATCTCTGTGGGTTTATGATTTTAACAAATCCTTTAATATAGTTTTAATGGAATTTCAGGAGGGAGAAAAATTAGATAAATGCATTCAATCCTCCATCAGAAACCAGGAGACTCTTTAGAAATTATTTTCATAAACATCCTCACATCCCTAATTCTTCTCTGGAGCATTCTGGATCCACAGAACCTAAGCCAGAAGGAGCCCAGCACATGAAGATTTTTAAGTGACAGCAATTGAAACCACCTATCCATCCATTGACTCCTGTGGACTTGCTCACTAGGCCCTTTGTGTGAAGAGGTGGTTTGCGTGGTGAAAGGGGCTTCCAGGACCACAGGTTCATGTGCCGGAGTATTGCACAGCTCAGAAAGGGTGGGTGGTCTTCAGGGGTCCCGCCACATTCATCCTCCCCACCCTTATCCCCTATTTCCATTTTCTACCATCAGCCATTTAAGGCATACCCGGATCATATTGTTCCCCTGCTTAAAACCCTGCAGGGCCTTTTCTCACTCAGAAGATGCAGCTTTCTGACACAAACCGCGTAGTTCTGCCTGATCTGGGCTGTGGTTCCTTCCCCTCCTCCTCTCCTGCTCCTCACTCTGCACCTCCCATGGGCTACCCTGGCTTGAAGGGCCCATCTCTGCTCCTCCTCTTGCCTGACCTCCCACTTTCTGGTCTCAGATTGTGTCAGATCCAAATAAAGCCTTGCCTCAGCGCCCCTCTGTCCTGGCCCTGCCTCCCCAGGAGTTACTGCCTGCTCTACATCAGGCCAAGGCTGGTCTGTGTGGTTTTACCTCAGCTGACATCTGCCCACGTGGGAGGGAAGGCAGTGTCCCGACTGTAAACATTTCCTTATAGTGTAAGAGGGAAGCCAACAAGAATCCCCAGGTAAAAGATTGACTAAAGGGATCTGAGAATGGGCCCAGAAATATGGAGCCTGAAACTTTGGGGAGGACTCGTCAAACAGTGCAGGTGCAGCCCTGAGAGGGTGGCATTGTGAAGTGACTCGCACAGGTAGACAGTCCTGGGTGAGAAACCTAAGCTCTCTCACTTCTTAGTTCTGTGCTCATGTCATTTAAATGTCGTAAGTCTCAGTATCTTCACCCATAAATTGGAGATAAAAAGAGCAACCCTTTCACAGGCTATTGTGGCAGGGATTTGATTCCGTGATGGCATTGGTGAGGGCTCTCTGGCTGTTCCTGGCACAAAGAAACTCAGTACACTTGGAATCCTTGCCCTCTGGAGGTTCCAGGAAGGTGCCGAGCTGTGGCCTGACCCAGATGGTGTAAAATGCTGAAAAGAACTGATGATGGAGGTGGAGTACAAAGAGGGTGCACTGGATAGTCCAGAGTAAGTGTGCTGGGAATGAGGGGAGGGTTTTAGTCCCCAGGACTGGTAAGGGTTTCTAGAGGAGATGGGCTAAGACAGTCCCTGGTGATGTGAACCAGGTGGGCACTGTCAGGATGCTGCTCTTGGGTTCAGCACCAGGGTGGGGAGTCAGTGATGGGTCTCCACAGCATGTCACAACTGCTCCCCAGGGACTCCTAGCAGCTCCTGGCTCACCTCCTTTGGCAAGAGACTCTGTGGGCTCTGTCTCTGGGTGTCTGTTGGTGTCAGCTTCTACCTGGCATTTGACAGAGGTGGTGCTCCTATGCCCCACTCCAAACTCCAAAGAGAAGTGAAAGCCTTCTGAATTCCCCAAGGCAGAGAAAAATGCAGAGCTTTCACTGCAAGCAAATGGGAAGATTTGCTTTCTCTGTTTCTTTCTCTGTTTAAAAGTTTCATCAATTGATGGGAGCCTACTCAGTTTTTACCGGTTAACACCACAGCATGGGAACAGCCTTTCTTCTAGCAGGATGAGCCTTCTGTTTTCATTTCTCGTTAACTTGTCTTATTTCTGCTAAGATTCGATTCCTGAGAATTGCCTCTGTCTCTCTCACCTCCCTGCACGCAGTGGTTTCAGCAGGAAGTCAGGATACAAGCAGGAAAGCTTGGTACAAGGTCTTTGGACCTTTGCTGAATCTCTCTGGATTTTGGTCTGAGATGCGGCATCTATGAAGCTGTGCACTCTGGGGGTGTGCAGGCCAGCACACATCACCCGCACACACCCACGCTTTACAGGGGGCCAGCTGGTGGGGGCGCACTGCGTTCTGACATCTGTCTCAGAGGAAGAGAACCTTCATGGGGTGTTATGCTGAGACTGGGGATGGTCTCTGTAGTGCATCTGGCACAGGGCCTGGTATTGAAGGTGCTCGACAGAATGACTAAAAAGGAGAAACAGAAAAACTAATTTCAAAGAGCAATACATACACTCAAGTGGAATTTTCCATTGCAGACCAGGCTGTGACCTAGGGGCACAGTGGGGTAGGGCCAGCTAGCACCCCTTTGGTTGATAAAAGTGGGCACCCACAGAGGCAATGCACTGCAGCTACTGGGGTAGGGGAGAGGAAAGACTTCATCTGAATTCTCAGGTTCCAAATGCCATGGAAGTCTAGAATGCTCTTTGGAAAAAAGAAGTATCTGAGTAAGCAACATTCTCCCTGGCCCCCAATTTCTTCCTCTGCAAAAAGAGGATTGTAGTGTATGCTCCAGGTTGTTATAGTTGAATGAGATACAGTGACAAGTAGCTGAGAAACTAGAAAGCATCTAGGAAGATGCCTCCTTCTTGCCTGGAAGAGTCTCTGGCTGTATGTGATGGAGCCAAGACACACATGAAGAGTGAGAGGTTTGGTGTGACCCCAGGTAGAAGGGAGGGGCCATGAGGCATGTGTGAACAAAGCCTGGGAGATTTAGCCAAGGCTGGAGAGAGCTGGGAGGAAGAGAGGGTGGAGTGGGACAGGGCTCTGGAAGGCAGCCCTGCTAGGAGGCTGGGGACCCTTGTTCAGGCTGTTCCAGACTGGTCAGGCTGGGAGGTACACGATAAATGATCATTTGCTAACAAACTCTCCCACTCATCAGCAGGAATGTTGGTAGCCTCTGCTCACTGAGGGAGGCTATCCTGTAATGCATGTCCCAGAAGTGCATGTGCACGAGTGTACACACACACACACACACACACACACACAAAACAGCTGCACCCTATGCCATTGTGGCTTTAATTTGCATTTTCCAAATGGCTAATGATGTTGAATATCTTTTCACATGCTTATTTGCCATGTGTACATCCTCTTCTGTAAAATATATCTTCCTATCTTCTGTTCATTTTCTAAGTAGATTTTTTTAACTTTGGCTATTGCATTTTGAGAGTTATTTTTATATTTTAGATATTAGTCTTTTGTCAGATATGTGCTTTGCAAATATCTTCTCCCAGTCTATAGCTTATCTTTTAACTGTCTTAAAAGGACCTTTCTCAGGGCAAAAATTTTCAGTTTTGATGAAGTCTAATTTATCAATTTTTCCTTTCACAAACTATGCTTTTGGTATCATATCTAAGAGTTCCTTTCCTAATCCTAGATTCCGAGGATTTTCTTGTGTTTTATTCTAAAAGTTTTATAGCTCTATGTTTTATAGTCAAGTCCATTATCCATTTTTTTTAAACCATGTGTGAAACTTACATTGAGGCTTGCATTTGCTATGGGTGCCCAGCTGCTCCAGCCCCATTTGTTGAACAGGAATCTTAAATATTTTTGAAAGCACTAATCAGTCATTTTAATACTAATATCTGATAACTCACCTGTGGTCACTTGTAGGTTTTTTTCTATTGCCTGTTTTTTCTCTTGATCCTGTTAATATGTGTTTTTTGAGGGGGTATACCTGTTAATGTGTTTGGATACTGGACATTACAAATCAAACATCATAGTGGCTATAGATAATATTTTCCTTCAGAAAGTGTTTACCCTATCCTCCATCAGTGAATGTGGAATAGTAGACGTTTTTATTTTTGTCAGCGGCTGAATGCTTTGAAACTTAGTTTCATGTTTTGGAGGGACTGGTTTGCCTCCTGTGCACATGCCCACTTTCAGAGTCTAGCTTTCTCAACCGATATCACGGAGTATTTACCAAGGCTTATCTTCCTATGTGGGCCAAAAACTCCAATTTTTATTTCCCCAGCATCCAACTCTCTAATCAATTGCATTTCAGATACTTTCTGCTTGGTTTCTTTGTCTTTAGCCCTGTGCTGCATATGGGTGTTTTGGAGGGTGGGGAAGAAATAGATGCAGTATGTTTGTTTGACTTTTCTGCACCTCCATACTTTCAGGTCTCTGAATCCTTCACGTTCTATTTCTGCATACTCAGACTCTAAGTATTGTCTTCTCTGTCCCATGATGTTGCTGAAAGCTCTCCCAAACTTTGAGATCATCTTCAGCCCAGCCTCTGCAGCCTCCCCACTGCTGCTGAAGCTCACACATGCAGAGGGCCACCTGTCGCAGAACACAGGGCTCACCCAGGGCACCCCTTCTCTCCAGGACCTGAATGCTTAGGGCCTGCTTTTTCTCATGCCTTAAAACAGCCTTTTTGTTTTGTTTTGTTCTTTGACGTAAATTATTTCCTGTTGCCTTTGCCTGTACTGTTAGTCTGCTGTAGGTTGCTCTGTTGTAGTTGAAAGAAGTCCTCCAGAGTCTGTGTTTTAACCAAGGTTTGCCTGACTCTGAATTCCTTGATCTTTGTTCTAGCAAAGCTCACTATACAGTTTTCATGAAAATGCACTTATAAATAAGAAAACTCTTTGATAAAAGATGCATGCACAAAGACAAACACAACTCATGCTTCACATACACTGTACCCAGGGTCTTCTATTTTTACTGCACGCATCAGGAAACAGCCACTCTGGATACTTTTGAGGTAATGGTCTAGGTCCTAATTAAAATACAAAAAGAAAACCACCATCACCACCTGGGGGGCCTGGCATCTTCTGTGTCCTGAATGACACAGCCCCCCAGGCATGCAGAAAGAACCACAGCCCCCTGGAGCTATGCCACCTGCCTGGGGCTCTGACCTATTCTTGCAGAATGGCTGCACCTCCATCCCCGCTGTATGGCGGTGTCCTTGGAGTTCTTTACACCTTACATCTGTGGACTCTAATAAAGCAGGAAGGGTGGAAGGGGTGTCTTAGCAGAGCCATGTCTATTCACACCCACCCACCCACTTGGCATCTCTGTCTCAGGACTCCCAGCGTTCCATGCCTCCCTGCTTCCCAGGGAGTCTCTGTGGGTTCTTCTGTCTGGCTCCCTTGGGATCTTACCTCTCACCACATGCTCACTTGTGTCACCTGCTCCAGCCAAAGCACAATCCCTGGAGATTCCTGAAACTCGCAAGGTCTCTCAGACCTCTGCTCCTTGGCAATGCCAATCAAAACAGCCTTCTCTTCCTTCCTGCCCTTTGGGCTGTCACACAGGTATAACACACCACCTCAGGGAAGCCTTCCTGGATTCCCGAGCTGGATGAGAGGGAGGTGCCTGTGGTTGGGGACCCACCCCTGCCCTCAGCCATGGCAGTCTCTGCCTGACTGCCATTTACGCTCTGTTTATGTCTAGGCCTCTGGCAGTCCTTGCCTCTCTTCCAGGAAGCAGTCCTTACCGTGGGGTGGTGCTGCTGAAGTCAGCCTGAGTCTAAGCTTTCCAGGCTGAGCCATTAGCTCCAGGAAGCAAACACCTAAGGAGACACACAGTCTCATTTTAAAAGTTGGACTGGGAACACTGGCAGGGCTTCAGTGGACTGAAGGAGAAAAGGGAGTGAGGACTTTGGATTTTCATCCATGGCATGGCCAAATACTGGACAGCAAATATGAGCTGGGCAGGTTCCTGGGTCAGGACACACCAGCCTGGCTAAAGCACCACACCCCCATCTCCTTGTGCTTGGATGGGGAAACTGAGATACAGAGGGGAGTGCCCAGGCCACCCCTGCCCTCATCTCAGGTATTGGAATTAGGTGAGTCCTGGATGAGACCATAAAGCCACCATTTTGGGACAAGGACAGGATGATTCTGGAGAGGACAGGGAGGTCAAGGGGATGGAACCTTGCACTCAGGGTAACTTGGGGAGAGATCTCATCTGAGCACTGGCAGGAGATAGACAGCACAGTCAACTAGGCTATGAGGATGGGTTTTAATGAAGAGACTCTTCACAAAGGTGTGGGTGTAGGCAAACCACGAGATGGTGAAGTCTCCTAGGCCTCAGAACTTCAGGGCCCCAGGACCCAGGACGGAGGGTATTAGGGGAAGGGGTCAGTGGAACCAGAGATGAGTGAGTTTCTTGACAGCAGCTGCGGCTTCTGTTTACTTCTGGAAGACAGAGGACTGCCCTGTTCCTGCTGAGGGAGAAGAAGCTGGGTGTTTCTACCCTGACTTCCCACTTCCCTGGCCTCCTCCCAGTCCCTCTGACCTCCTCCTGGGAGTCTCCGCTGGCCAAACCCAACTTGGAGCAGAAGGCAAGACAGCTACATCAATGGCCCTTGTGGGTCAGGGCAGGGCAGCGGGGGTGGAGGCGGGGTGTGCAGGGGACAGAGACAGCTGGGGGGAATTGCACTCTGCAGTGAGGGCAGGAGGCCTGGAGCTTTGCTATTTCTGTGTCCTGGGCCCCTGGCCCCACTGTGTCTGCACACAGGCAGGCTGATGTGTGGCCCTCCTGAGAGTCCTGGCCTTCCATCCCACTCTGCTCTGCACGCCAAACCCCAGGAGGTCAGCGCTGGGGTTCCAGGCCCTGCTACTCCCAGGGCGCACTCTGCTTTTCCCTCCTGGGGAACCCTAGAATCAGGTCGGGGTCTCCTTTCTCAGTACCTTTACTGCCTTTTTCTTCCTGTGCCAGTAAAAGGAACATCTGGGCCAAGAAACAGGGTGGAGTCAGTGAGGGAATAGGTGTGTCTTCTCTGCGGATGCTGGGGCTTGGAGAGGTCACTCAGGTGGAGTCAGTGAGGGAATAGGTGTGTCTTCTCTGGGCATGCTGGGGCTTGGAGAGGTCACTCAGGTGGAGTCAGTGAGGGAATAGGTGTGTCTTCTCTGGGGATGCTGGGGCTCAGAGAGGTCACTCACCCACTTCCAGCTATGGCCAGGAGCAGAGCACTGCTGAGACTCACAGCCCACCTGGAGGTCCGCCGGTTCCTGGCTGGGGTGTGAAGCAGGGAGCCAGGTGTTTGGAGACCAGGCAGGGCTACCTCAGCTCACAGAGAAGGCTACCATTGTTTCATTCTTTGTTCACCCATCATTTGTTTGCAAACACTGAATACTGTAGTGTGCCCGGCACTTAGACAAGCAAACCATCGTGGTGTGGGGTTCAAGGGAAATAGGACAGGACATGGGAGGGAAAGTGAGAGCGAGGATGGCCGAGAAGCCTCTGGGGTAGGAGGTGATCAGGGAAGACGTCTTAGGAAACGGGAGTCTGAGCTGGACGTGGAAACACAAATGGGCCGGACAAGGTGGTGTTCACTGACCTGGGCAGAAGGCGGGATCATTGCAGGAGAGAAAGTCTTGCAGTCGGCACAGCTGGTGACCTTCACTGTGGACTGTATGTCTATGGGAGAGGAGGGCCAGGAGCTGGGGGTGCCAGGTGCCCTTCATCCCTCCCCCAGGCCCAGTCCCCAGGCATACTCACCACAGGACTCATTGCAGGCTGCCGGGGAGGGTGAGAAGGTAGAGAAACTGAGGTGCTGAGGAGGCAGACAGAGCCAAGGGGGTCTGGGGTACATGTAGGAGATGAAGCTGGGAAGTTGTTCACGGGCAGGGGTGGGGCTCCTGGGAAGGGTTGAGGGGGCTGCAGAGTGAACTCTGTGTGCCTTGGGTCTTGGGAGGGTTTGAGAGCTGGGCTGTGTGTAGGGACCGTCCCCACCCCTTACCCTTCTCCTTCAGCCCATCAGATATCTTATTCAGCCTCTCAGAAAAGAGATTCTTGTGCATGTGAATCTCTTCCAGAAGTACTGTTTTATCTGGGTAGAGCAGGAGGGAAGGACTGTTCAATGTTACAACTTGCTTTCAGACCCTTGTTTCTAAACGGAAGTTCCAAAGAACACACAGAGACAGACTGCATTCATCCCCCACATTCACAAGACCTCCGCCCATGGCCACATGGGCCTCTGAGAATGCCTTGGAGGATGCAACTTTGTCAACCCAAGCTCTGGGGCCCTGGGGCTCTTGGCTTCCTCACCATCTCGTAATTGCTTAATGGCTTGGTATACTTTAGTGAAGAATTTGGCTGTTTCTTCTTCCAAATGGTCACAATCTGAAGATGAAATACAGGTTGAAGGGAAGTCAAGGGAGTAAGATTTCAGGTCAGGTAAAGGGGCCAGATCCAATCCCTGATCTCCTGGCTGTGCCTCACCAAGGTACCAAGGTTTGAGCAAATTATTATCCTCTAGAAATAGGGAGTGAATGCTTTGAGAAAGTTCTGTGGGTGGCCCCGGGCTACCCCAGAGAATCTGCAGGTCGTAATCTATCCAGGCAGACAGTTCTGGCCAGCAGTGGAGGCAGTTCTTCCCTTCGATGGCAGGCAGCAGACAGATGATCAGGAGAGGCAGCATCTTCTGGGGTCCTTCTACTGTGCCCCAGTGCCCTGCCTGGCAGTTCCAGGTGGAACACTGGTGTTCTGTCCCCCTGGTAACCACATTCTCTTGGGAGAACAAAGTGCATTCTGTAGGGCAAGGCAAGGGTCAGCTGTGGTGTCATGATGTGAATCCCAGCTTTGGCATCGGACCCAAGTGGGAGCCTTGGTACATAGTTCCTCCTCTCAACTTAAAGTCACATGCTCAGCAGGGAAGGTCCTCATGAGGATCAGAGGAAAGGCTGCACTGCCTGGTGGTGGGTGCTCAGCCATCTTGACTGTGTTCATTTGGCAGAAAAGAGCAGCACAGCGAGAAGGTTAGTTGAGTGAAGAGAATCAGAATCTCTTCACATTTTTCCACAAAGAAGTGGTCAACTTCTTTCCATTAAAGGAGAAGTTAATGGAAAATACATGTTTTCATGGCCTATATAAACTGGCAGCAGACCTGTGTTTGGTCAAGCCAGAGGGGCTCAGCACCTAACACCACAGTGCAGGCATAGAGTATAGACAAGTTCCAGCCCGCAGTGCATGGAAGTGCAAAGAGAGAAGCCACCTTCAGGGCAGTGGTTCTTTTGTACAATGTGCCCTGAAAAAAAAAGAAAACTCCTACTCTTCTGTAATAAAGAAAGCCCGTGGGATTCCTATCACTCCTGAGCTGGCAATGCTTCCATGCCATGCTTCTGAGTGCCCTGGGCTGGATCACGAGAAGCTAAGAACACCACACATTTAAGGAATGCTTCTAACATGACCAAGAGACAAAAACCATAGCAAGAATTCAAAACAAAGGCAAACAAAAACTGCAGGAAAAAGGAAGAGTACAGAGTTATGACAATCAAATTAAACTTAGAACCCAATTACAATTAAATTCAAAATATTGTTTTTCCCAGAAAAGAAGAAGCTGCTATGTAAAAGGAAGACTTATCAGAGACTAAAATTATGAGAGTACAAATTAAAAAATTCCATAGGAGTGTTGGGAGATCATTTCAGAAATCTTCCAGAGAGAAGTACAAAAAGAGATGGGAAAGAGGAAATGAAAGATAATAAAATTAGGTAATCAATCCATGAGATCCAACATTCAGCTAATACAAGTTCCAGAAAGAAAATGGAGTCGAGAAAATTATTTATAATAGAAGTTGTGTAGGAAGTACATACAGGAAGAAATTCTATTGTGTATGGAGAGGGGTGTGGCATTGAAGTTTGCTAGATTAAATAGTTGGGCTGGGCACAGTGGCTCATGCATGTAATCCCAGAACTTTGGGAGGCTGAGGCAGGTGGATCACTTGAGGTCAGAATTTCAAGACCAGCCTGGCCAACACGGTGAAACCCCATCTCTACTAAAAATACAAAAAATCAGCCCGGTGTGGTGGTGCCTGCCTGTAATTCCAGCTACGAGGGAGGCTGAGGCAGGAGAACTCCTTGAAGCTGGAGGGGGCGGAGGTTGCAGTGAGCTGGGATTGCACCACTGCACTCCAGCCTGGGTGATGGGGTGAGACTCTGTCTCAAAAACAAAAAATAGTTGAATTAATAAATTCAGGCTGTGCTAGTCAGGTGGGCTGCGATGAGAGGGTGATTCCAGGTTCTGCAGAGATGTTTCTGTATCCCTGGTTTTGTATGGAATCATGGGTGAGGTCAGGAATAAGCCTGTTTTTTGTTTTTTTCTCTACTCAGTCAGTATCTCTGTAAAAGCAAGGCCTGGAGGTGTCCCAAAACACAACTTCCATGTCCTCAGGATGCATCACCCTCTAGGCACATTGATGTTTATTACATGAGAAAGCTCATGCAAGACTTGGTGTGCAGAATTTTTACTGGAGTCTCATTATGTAGGTGTGATTGACTGAATCACTGGCCATGTGCCCTGTCTCTCCCTGGAGGTTGGGCTGATATTCCCTGGCTCAAAGCCCTAACCCTCTTATCACATGGCTAGTCCTTCCTAACCATACATTGTCATGTTAACAGAATGACTCAGGATAGCCGGCTCTCCTGGCTCCCCCGGCTGTCAGAGTCCAGGTGGTCCTCAGAAGCTGTCCTTCTGATATCATGAGCACAGCTCATGTGGTTGGCCCAGGATGTCTGCTCCTCTCTCTGTGGTACTGGACCCACCTGCCACTCCCCACATGCCACGTTCCCAGCTTTTCCCCTGTTCGGTGAAATCGCTCCTATCCTGAGTCATGCTGTTAACATAATAAGGTATGGTTAGGTAGGCTCTCATAAGCCCACCGTGAATAACAGACCCTTCTATTGCTCAGGAAATTTCTGAAGATTTAGAGGTCCTCTCCTAGGAACCAGGAACAAGGGATAGCCAGATTCTTAGCCATACAACAATAGCACATAAATTCCTGATTACCCATTAACATTTGGGCATGAGTTCATCCAGATCTAGGCTTTGTAATGCTTCTGTGGTCTCCTGAAATTTTATGGAAGGATTTCAAGTCCCAGGCACAAACTTTTGCTTTGCCCATGCTGAGTCGTGGCGATATTAGAATAGAGGCAATTAGAAATCCAGGGACAAGTGGAACACGACAAGGGCATCTATCTTAGCAAATTAACTCACTTGGTTGGTAAGCTCATCTTACAGGTCACTGACCTGCAAATTCTGTCCAGTTATTACAGGAACCTTGTTGTAAAGAACAGCATTTGATACATCCAAGATACTGGCATCTGTTGGTCCATGCCTTTATGAGGGGTTGGATTTAGTTGTTTGATTTTTTAATGGAAAAATTACAAAAAGTTCATCATCTGATAACCTATCATAAATGAAATATTCATTTCATTTTCTTTCTGGTTAAAACTTGTGTCTTGAAATTCTTTGTTGTATCTACTTAGAATGATCAATGGGGATGCCTGGCGGGAATCTCTCTTGCAGAATTTGTCGGTAGAGAACATTAAAATTGCATGAAGCCGGTCATGTAATTTTAATGACCATCAAAAGGATTTTGACTAGAATTGGGGGTAATTTAAAGTGAGATGATGCTTCTGGGAAAGGTTGAAACCTAGGGTGTTCAAGAAGGCAAGTTTCTGGATCTATAGGGCACTCCCCCATCTCCCCCTGCTGCCGGGAAGAGGCATTCTCTCTGTACTGAGTGGTTCTGGCCAGCATCTGCAAAGCAAAGAGTGCCTGGCTGTCTCCTTCGGGTCTTAGAGAGTCATGTAGGGCTAGTGCTGGCCGTGGCCTTGCGCAGGACTCAGTGCCTCCCATCCACTGCTCCAGGGAGAAGTGGCTGAGGCCCTGAGGGTAACAGATGAGGCTTCACATTCAGGCTTTGTGCCTTCTAGACCAGTGCCTGCCACCCCACTCCTACTCCCCTTTCTCTTGAGTTCTTTCCATCTTCCTGCCACTGAGCTCAGCTCTCCGTCCGTGAAGCCAATAATGACAGCAATGCATTATGAAGGGCATGCTGTGTGCCAGGTACAGGGCTCAAGTACAGACCCCTCTGATACCACCATCACTCATCACTGGAAAGCTGCGTGCTAGTAGGCCAGTGTGCCAGGGCAGGGGGCTGGATCAGCTGCAAGGGAAGGCCTGGAGGGTCGCTGACTAAGCTTCAAAGGAGTTTCTTGGCGTCAGTAGAAAATACAAAGTCCCAGGCGATAGTGCTCGGGTTTCTCCCTGTTGGGAGTGGCACAGCCATGTGGCTGGGACCTCGGGTGCACGTCTGTGCCATATACTCATGGGTGAATGTGCTCGTAGCTAAGGGCGAGCCAGCATAGATCACAAGAGCTGACTGCTATTGGCATTTGCATCTGGGAAATAGTGGATTCCTTTGGGGCCAGAGCATATGGCAAAGTATTTAGCTTTGAAGGCTGTGGCAGGTGGGGCTGCTGTGGGCCAGGCCCTAGTGGAGACTCCTCTGGTGCCCAAGGAGAGGCCTTATGATAGAAGACAATCCCACACTCACAGCTGCTGGGCAAGTTTCCCAGCCTCCCCAGGTGTCCCGCCTAGCATGTGGCCTTTCCCACATGGTTGTGAAATGCCATTTATTGTGCGCCTGCTGCCTGCCAAAGGCCATGCCAGGAGCTCCGCAGAGATGATGGAATGTAGAGCCTCTGGCCACCCCTGGGAGGTGATGCTGGCTCTCACAGGGCCTGCTAGGAAGATAACAAGTGGACAGTAATGAATGGGACACACCCAGCACATGGTCTAGCTGTGAGTAGATGCTCAGCAAGGGTCAGTTGTTGTTAGGTTTGGATTGTTGGCTCTGCAACCAGTCAGCGGAGAGTGCACAGGGTCCTGCCCTCTCTTCCTTCCTGATGAGGGGCTGTGCTATACGATGCTGCTGCTTGCCAGGTCCTGCTCCTTGCCTTCCTGATCAGTTCCCTCCTCCCTGCTCTTTATCCTCCCTATCCTCGACTGTATCACAGGATTCAGCACAGCTGTGGGATGCATTTTCCGATGGAAGGCTCCCTGCAAAGTGTTGAGGAAGGTGGTCAGTGCAGTCTTGGGCGTCTGCTCTCAGCTCCACCGGTCTCCATGTCTCCTCGCACTCCTCACCAGACTCTGCTCCTGGAACCTTCTCACACCATCTGAGCCATGGCTGCTTTTTGGGAAAAAAATCTGCCCTTCATCACTTACATCTCAGTACGTACAAGCACGTGTCTTTTCTGCTGGGGGCATGTGACTTCTTTGCTGTGGCTGGGCCTTGCCCTGGAGCCTGCTGTGTGCCAGGTGCTCTGCCCACAGTCATATTTAGTCTTCACAGTAAGTGTATCAGTCAGGGTAGGCAAGGGCAGGCTCTGCAAATTTCAATGGCCTAAAACAACAAGGACTTCTTTGTCCTTTATGTTACTTATCCGTGTGGGTTGGCAGAGGTCTGTGGTCATCCAAGCCTCTCAAAGGCCTGGCAGATGGCATAGACCCTCCTTTCGGTATTAGGGGCCACCCTGCCAGGGGGCAAGGTGAGTGTAGGAGAGTCTTGCATGGGTCTTTAAAGGCTCTGACCAGCAAGTGGACAATGTCCCCTTCACACACAGTCATGCACAGATCTAATTGTATTGGCCTCTCTCACCCTCAAAGATGGTACCTTATGATGTGGCCTGGTGCGGAGCTCCAGCGGAGGACCTGCCCTGAAGAGAAGTGGCAATGTCTGGTGACCAGTGTGGAAAACTCCCAACCCAGCCTGTGAGGAAAAGTCTGCAGTCCCATGTGACCCGGGGGGATGGGAGTAGCTCCTGCAGGCAAACAAGGGTCAAACAGCAGAAGGAACCCAGATCCCGGACCTGAAGATCCACGCTCTGGGTGAAGAGTTTCATTTCCTCAGCTTGTTAATCTTTATTAGAAAAGTCATTTGGAGGATTTTAAAAGAGCTTTGAACTCACACAAAACTCAGCCTACAAAATTGTCATGTCCTCAGGGAACCCAAAGAAGAAACATTTGGGAGCAGTTGATGACATGGGTCCCTGCCCTCTCCCCTGCTGTCCCTCCCAGAGAACTCTGTGGCTTGAGAGGGGGCAGCAGAGATCGAAACAGCAGGGGGCCTGGGGGCTCCATTTAGAGGCCTGTTGCATGCTGAGCTCATGCCAGTATGGAGTACTATCCTCACTTTACATGTGAGGACAAGGCAGGGCTCAGGTTAAAGCAATTGCCAGGGCCACACAGCTGGGAACCTCAGGGTGAGGTGATTGGAACCCCATCCTGACCCTGTTCCCTGCATTGCCCCCTAAAGCCCTTTAAGATAACCCCCTCACTCCCAGTGCCCCTGACCCAGGAGAGCTTGCCTAAGCAGGTCATTCTGGGTAGGAAGATCTGGGGGTATTTACGGACCTAGGAGCCTCTCAAGAGGCTCTCAGTGCCCGGCAAGAACTGCTGGCTGTGTCTGACATTTCCCAGTGCAGGAATAAGACTGCCTGCCTGTGGCTTGGTGAGCCCAAGGGAGGCAGAGAAGGCAGAGGCCAGAAACAAAGGGAAGACTCTCAGGTGCTGGGAGTGCTGTGGGTCCTGGTCCAGAGGAAGCAGGTGCAGGGTGGTGTCACAGGGTCTATGGGCTGTGTGAGTCCTCGGAGCTTGGAGCATGGACCTTCAGGCCCCACTCCAGGCTGGAGCAGCCGTTCCCGAAAGCTCCTTCTATAGCAGGGAAACCCCATCACTCCAAACAGGCCCTGAGGAACGAAACATCTGCGCTTAATTTTTCCTTTCTGTTTCCCTCTCCCCTGGCATTTGGCTGAAGTCTCCAGGACCAGATATGCTTTGTAGGGGAAAGAGCTAAATCCTCACAGCAAGGCCCTCTTCCCTGTCGACTCCCACCCTGCTCAGCACCTTGGAGAGCCTGGAAGGGCTGGAAATGGACAGGGTTAAGCTGTGTAGATATCGTGGCCGTCGGTCTTCCCAGTAGCCATGTGTGGCAGGCATGTCTATCTCCATTTCAAAGATGGAGAAACTGAGGCCTAGGGAGATTAGAGTGGTTTTCTCCAGGCTGCCTGGTTAGTAACAGGTGAGCAAGGCACTGCCCCAGGTGTCTGACCTCAAGGCCAGTGCTGTCTGCACAGCCACTGCAGAGAGACGAGGGAGGGCCCAAAGGTGGAGTTGTGGGGGCCGTGTGGGGTGCAGTGCCGCATGCTGCCCAGCTCCTGGGTGGTCCTCCTGCTGCTGTGGGGAGAGTGTGAACCACTGGGGAACCAGGGCTCTGTCAAGAAGGGGTGGAGGGGACTTTTGAGCTGCATTTTGGGGGACGTGGGGTTGGCCTTCGAGTGGAGACGGGCAGCCCCAAGTTGACAGAGTGGAGACAGCTGCTGCAGAGGAGAGGTGGATTCCCAAGTCTTGAGGGAACAGAGTTTTCTGACAGGTTGACTTGGATCACTCATGTTTGTAAGGAGTGGCTTTCTGACACCTGGAGACTGCATCTGCCGCAGTGTGGGCCCCAGGCTCATGGGGATTCAGGGAGAGTCTCAGCACAGCCCCTAATCAGCCACGTGGCCTTGGGCAAGTCACTTACCCTCTAGGGATAATAACAGAGTTGTAGTCGGACTTATTTAAAACAGGTGGTGGAAAGTGCTGAGCCCACGCCAGCAGGTAGGAAGCATGATTGCCGGTGATGAGCACTGTTATTACTGCAGTGGGGTGGGGGTAGGGAGCAGCTTGACATGGGAGCTCATCCAGCAGTGATGGGATGGTCTGGCTGGTGCTACAGGGGGTAACTGCACTGGGAGAAGGTAGAAACTGATCACAGTTAAGTCCTCTCTTCTCGTTTTTGATAATGCTTTTGAGGAGCTGGGTGAGGCCTGGGCAGGTTACATGGCCCCCTGGGACCTCAGTTTCTTCCTTTGTAAGCTTTCCGCTCTTGCCAGGGTGATAGGATGGCAATTCAATCCAACAAGGGTCCTGTTGGTGACTGAGCACTGTGTCTCAGAGGGAGAAGGAAGAATGGCTTTGTACTGCAGAGGCACGGGGTTAGGATGGCTTTCCTAGGGCATGGAGGTTCTGCAGATTCCTTGGGCTCTGATCTCAGCCCCTCCACTGGTGTTGGTCTAGGGCCCTTGGCTTGAGAGCCTCATCTTCCCTGCACTGGGCTCTGGTGCTCACTGAAGCAGAGTGCACAAAACTCCCGGTAAAGGCCTAGTAATGTGGCTCGGAATTGGGTCCTCCAGGGTTATTAGAGCCATCCGTCTTAATTATACTGAAAATCACTTATGCGTTTTCCATGATAACACTGCATTAGCAATTTCCCAGCTCTGAGCCATCTCCTGGCAGGGCTGTCACTCTCAGGGTGGAGTGTTTTCTGCAAGTCACAGTCACATTTCTTTGTTCTCCCTCCCTTGGTGGGACGATGGGCTGGGTATGACAGAATCCTTTCCTTGTGGGCCATAGATGCAGGGTCAGGCCCTGGGGAGACTGAACCCTCCTGAGTGCGGGGTGGGCACTGCCTGGATTCTTCACACCGAGCATGTGATTCAACCCTTTGCATAACCCTGGGAGGTCCATGTGCTTATTGCCATTTACAGACAAGAAAACAGAGGCTCAGAGAAGCTAAGAACGTGTCCAAAGCAACTCCCTCAGAAATGAGGCTTCAGGAAGAAAAACTCTTCTGCTTTCCTTTGATGTGTTCGAAGATGCCCCCTCCACCTCCACCCTTCAATCCCACCGCTGCAGTTTCCATTCTGGCTTTGCCAGGAAGATGTGAGAAGAAATGCTTTCCTCAGGCCAGGTGCCGTGGCTCATGCGGATAATCCCAGCACTTTGGGAGGTTGAGACGAGTGGATCACCTGAGGTCAGGAGTTTGAGAGCAGCCTGGCAAGCATGGTGAAACCCTGTCACCACCAAAAATACAAAAATTAGCTGGGCGTGGTGGTGGGCACCTGTAATCCCAGCTACTTGGGAGGCTGAGGCAGGAGAACCTGGGAGAAAAAGCAAAACTCTGTCTCAAAAAAAAGAGGAAATGCTTTCCTCATTTGATGTATCCTCCCCACAGAGCCCCCAGAAAACATGCACACAGCACACACACGTACACACACACCCTCTCTCTCTCTCTGTCCCCACCTCCGACAACTCCCTCCTTTGTCTAATACAGTGTCTTGGTTTCTCTAGAGGGTCAACGGGGAGGGCTAAGGGTGGGTTCCTCACTCGCTACTCACATGGAGGTGACCCTGAAAGTGACAGAAAATTGGACCATGTGCTGACCAAGAAGAAAATGAACTTGGTGCTGGCCTCAGGAGGCAGGAGCCAGGGCAGACCTGGGAGTAGACCCGGAGAGCGCATGTCTGTGGGTGCCCCAGTCTGAGGGCTCTGGCCTGAGGGGTTCCTCCTATGGGTCTTGAGACTACTGGGAACATAGAAAGCAGAAGCCAAGAGACAAATATTGGGAGGGAGAAAAAACAAGACAGACGTCGTGTATGCCAACCACATGGCATTTTGCCTCAGGGGAAATGAGTGAAGCCTCTGAGCTTTGAAGGGCTTGGGCAGGGAAAAGAGGGGGAAGCGGGGAGGGCCAGCAGGCCCTGAGCGGGGAGGTGTGGATGGGGAGGGAGGGACAGGGAGATGGAAATTGGGTGGAGCCTCTGCCTGCCCTGGGATCAGCAGGTGGTTTGGAGGAGGCGATTCTTGTGGGTGAGGAAGTGGGTGGAGGGGGCAAGAGAGGAAAGTCTGGCAGGGATCAGATACGATTCACTGCCAGTGACAGGGTCACCCAGAGGAGGCTGCAGGAAGGCAGGGGCAGAGCCCTGTCTCTCCTGGACAGGAGCAGGTGCATGGGGAGCGGAGGCCCAGTCGGCGGGTGCAGGCGAGGGGGCGCTATGGGGCAGCACCACCTGGCAAGCCACGACCACCTGACCACCTGGCGGAAACGGTGTGTTTGGGGCTCTGGTTGATGGGCCCGACCGGACTAGGGGGTTTGAAGGGTCGGCATCTTTTGCCTGGTCAGTCCTGTGGGGCCGGGCCATGCTGGGCACAGAGCCTTTTATTGCAGCGGGGCTGGGGCCAGACTGGATGCCTGCTGCTGGAGGGCACTTAGCTTCTCCGGACATGGCCTGGCTTCTGGGTTCAGCCGCGGGGAGCCCTGAGTTGCAAGGCCGTAGAAGCACTTTCCAGCACAGATCTTCAGGGGCTGCCCTGTGGGTTGACCCTGACGTCCCCACTTCCCTTTGCATCCCAGACACCCTGGGCCAGGGGGTGCAGAGTTCAGGGCCTGCAGAGCATGTCTCCCCATGAAGCCATCCTTGGGTGAGTACCAGGAAAGCGGGCTGATGAATGGGCTTCCACTCTGAGGTCCTGACAGCTGCCTTCCCTGCTGACTCAGCTCAGGAAAGTTGCCGTGGCAGCAGAAACTTAGCTAAGAGCAGGAAAATAAGGCACGAGGCCCCAGTGCAGTCTGTGGTGAAGGAGTGAGGTTTGACAGAGGCCCTGAACCCTGGAGGACTTGGGAGGGGCCTGGAACCCCCATCCTGGTCCACCCCAGCCTGGGAGGGAGCAGCAGCAGCACAAGTCCGTGCCTGGATGGAGGCTTTATTTGCCCAGTGCCCCCCCAGGCATCTGGCTGCCAAACCACGTCACCTTTGGGAGCTGAGATGTAGGTTTCCTGGTTCCCATGTGAGGAATCTGAGGCCCGGGGGAAATCATAACACACATCCAGCAGGGTAGGATGGACCGGCTGGGCCTGGCGTGGGGCCCACCTGTGCACTTTGCACCCACTGCCTCCTCAGCCCTCACATCTCCCCTCTTCAGCCTCCCCAACATGTGGAGGCTGGGGGTGTGCCCAGAGGCTTCCCAGAGAGATGGTCAGGGCTCTGCAGAGAAACAGAATCAGTAGGATATATATCCTACTGATATATGTGTATATATACACACATATGATATTCTATCTATCTATCTGTCTACCTACCTACCTACCTAACCTACCTACCTATCTCTGGAGAGAGAGAGGAGAGGAGAGGAGAGGAGAGGAGAGGAGAGGAGAGGAGAGGAGAGGAGAGGAGAGGAGAGGAGAGGAGAGGAGAGGAGAGGAGAGGAGAGAGAGCAGAGGAGAGAGAGCAGAGGAGACAGGTTGACAAGTTCAACTTCTGCAGAGCTGATATCCTAACTTGAAGGCCATCAGGCAGGAGGAATTCCCCCTTGCTCCACTTAGAGTCAGGTCAAACTTTTCTCCCATTCAGGCCTTCCATGGATAGGATGAGGCCCAACCACTTATCGAAAGGAATCTGTTTTACTCAGCCTACTGATTTGATGTTTATCCACAGACACATCTAGAATAATGTCTGAACAACTATCTGGGCATCCTGTGGCTTGGTTGAGTTGACACATAAAATAGGCAGAGCTGCTGCAGCTGCCTGGACATGAGCTCCACCTCTGATCCTGTTGTTTCATCTGTAAAGGGGATGTCGTAAACCTGTGTGAGGCTAACACGTTGACACCTCCTATGAGCCATAATGTGTGTGGTCCATGGTGGCTCTGTCGGACTCACCCTGGGCAGTGTCCATCAGCCCTCCCAGAAGGGACCCACACACAGTGTTATCACTGCTTTTAAGTTCTCACTAACTGTTCCTTGGCCAGAATGACTGCAGCTGATGTCTACAGGACTGAAGATGATAAGCTGAGATGACACCTGCTCCCAGGGGCCACAGAGCCACGATCTGTAGATCTGTGAGGTCACCAGGACCTCTAGGGTCAGACAGTTCCACAGAGGCTGATTTTATCAGAGGGTAGAGGACCTAGGGAGAGTTACGTGCGGGGCTCAAAGCACATCACATTTGCTTCCCAGAGAGGGCTTGGGTGCTTCCCTTTTCTTTATGGTAATGGGTCCAAGTCTGGGCTCAATGTGTAGCCCACAGGTCTCTGTACTGGTCAAGGAGGTGACACCAGCGGTCTGTTGGTCCCACACCTCCTGCCCTGATGTGTCCCAGAACCAAATCTGGTGTGAGAATGCCAGACCTGTCCTTATGTCTGTGAAAGATTTAAAGTGTTTTGAAACCAACTATGTAGAGCTTCCAGAGGGGAATAGATGGCATATTGACACAGAAACAGCTAACTGGGACCAGCTGCACCCTTCACTCACCATCACCTGCGCCATCAAGAGGAATGACATTGTAGGGAACAAGGTGAGGGCCATGGGAGCTCTGAACCTGGAAATGTGCTGGTCACCACCATTCTGGACAAGAGCCTGCTTGTTCCCCCGCACCTGCAGAAATCAGCTTCCCTGTTGACTGGGGCACAAATCTGTAATAGCCACATACCTGCCCTCGGGGTACAGTCTTACTGGGAGCCCTAGACCTGCCCATAGGAGGCCATTCTAGACACAGCCATGAACACAGAGCAGAGTTCCGACTACAGGCCACCAGAGACCAGCTTCCCGCACAGCTCTAGGCCTCAGCAAGCCAGAGTCACCCTGAGCTATATTTACTTGCCTCCAACATGGTCCCTGCCCTATCTATGCATCTTGCATTTTCTCTAAGTATCCGACATCCAAAACAGGGCTGGGCATAGTGTAGGCAGGCAGGAATGTTTAGTGTGTGAATGGATGAATGGATGGATGGAGAGGTGGGTTGATGGGTGGGAGATGAATGGGTGGGTGGGGCCAAAGGGGTGCAATGTCAGTGTGGGTGGAGGAAGCTTTATGGAGTGTTTTCTCTACTGCAGAGCAGAGGCTATCTCTCCTCTAGGGCTTGTGTGGCACTGGGGGCCCCTTTGTTCTCTATCTTTGAAAGGCCAAGGTCAGGCAGGCACCTGATTATGTGGGAGGTAGGAGATGCCTGAATCCCTTTTGTACTGTGGTGCTCGATTTACCTACACATAAAATGAGAGCCCACACCCGACCCTTGTTGCCATGGCAGGGACGGGGCAGGACAGAGTGTGGGGTCCCAGGGATCTGCTGCTGAGAGCTTCACAGTCAGTGGAGAAAGCTAGAGATGACCCAGGGAATAAACTCACAGAGACAATGCATCTTGGTCTCTGGCTTCAGGCTGGGATATGTATGAGGTCTGGGAAGGTGAGCAGCATGCTAGGGCGTGGGGCTCCCAGGCCTGGTCTTCCTCCCTCTGAAGACTTTCAGGCTGTCCACCTTCTGTGTTGAGAGAGGCCTCCCCTGGGATTTAAGAGCCTTGTGAACTCCCCTCTATGGGGGGGGAGGTGTCATAGGCAAATCTGCCTTAACCTGGAGCTCTTCCTCAGATACAGGTACCGATGCAAGCCTTCACTGTGCTATGTGCCCCTGTTGATCAGCCAGGGCCTGCTTCGTGGTGACTCAGCACGTCTTGCCCTCGAGTCTCTCTGGCAGATGCAGAGCACGTGTGCTACTCTGGCGTTTGTCTAAACTATTGCTGGATGCCCAGCATAGGTGAGCACCAAAGAGGTGTTCTTGGGTTCAGGAGGCCCAAGAGGGGAGTCATTCAATCTCTCAGGGCTCCTGGTAGAGGTTTTCTGTGTTAGATGCTGAGCTGACTAGTTAAAAGAAAAAAAGGCACAGGTAGGCTTGGTCCTTCTACCTCTCTCTCCCCCACTGTCAGGGATGTGGGTTGTGCCTGGGTGAGAAGGGGACAAGGCTGAATCGAGTGAGTTACAGAATGGCTGCAGAGGGAAGATACCATCTGCCCGAGCCATGGGCCAGATGTGGAATCTTGGGGCATGTCAGAAAGGAGAGAAGCTTTGTGGCCAGACACACCTGGCTTGCAGCCTCCCTCTCAATGCCGTGCAATGTGACCTTGGGGGCATCACTTAACCTCTATGGGCATTAGTGTCCTCATCTTCAAAAACGAAAATGGCAACATCTATCTAGGATATTTCTTTCCAGGATTGATGAGATTATATAGAAAAAATGTCTAGCACCTGGTGGGTTCCCAGAAAAATTAGCTCCTATCATTCTTTCCATGCAAATAGTTCCCGGGTGAGCAAGACGTCTATTTCCCAGCCTCTCCCATGTTGCAGAACACACAGAATGTGGCACCGTTTGTCTGGCACAGGGGTATGTGGGGACAGGAGGTGTCAGGAGGCTTTGTTGGTTGCAGATGCCCCTCCTGTTGCCCACTGGAACCCATTCCTGGCCGACCTGGGCTCCCTCTGGGGCAACTCTGAGCTGAAGACCTTTGCTGGGAGTCTACATGGAGCTGAACTGCTCTCTGCCTGCTGGATGCTGACCCATGTCTTCACGCAGGCTGGTTCCAGACAGGATCCTTGAGGATGCAGCGGGGCTCCTTCTTCCTGCTGTGACCTCCTGCCGCCTGCACACATGAGGGGCACGGAGGAGGCAGTTGATTTTGCTGATCGTGTCATCAGTGCCTCCTCTGAGCCAGGCGGCCTGCAGGGCAGTTTACCTGCATCGTCATCATAAATCCTCGAAATCATGAAAGAGAGAGAGGCACAGGGAGATTAGTTTCCCACAGTCAACAGCTGCGACGGGCCAGATCTGGATTTTAAGAAAGTTTGAATTTTTAAAATTGTGATAAAATTCACGTTACAAAATTTACTTTAAGTCTTTAAAATGTACAGCTCAGCGGCATTAAATTCACGTCATTGTGCAAACATCGCCACCATCCATCCCCAGAACTCTTCATTTTCCCAAACTGAAGCTCTGTCCCCATTCGACTTCCCATTCCCCTCCCTCCAGTCCCTGGTGACTCCAGTTCTATTCTTCTCTCTATGGATTTGACTATTCTAGGCGTTTTGTTTAAGTGGAATCATACAGTATTTTTCCCTCTATGATTAGCTTAGCATGATGTCGTCGAGATTCATCCATGTGGCAGCATGTGCCAGGATTTTCTTCTTTTCTAAGGTGGAGCAACACCCTTTTGTACATGATACCGTATTTTGTTAACCTGCTCATCTCTTGATGGACGCTTGGGCGGCTTTCCTTTTGGCTGTTGTGAATAATGCTGCTATGAACATGGTGTGCAAATATCAGTTCAAGATCTTGCTTTCAGTTCTTCTGGGTAGATACCCAGAGGTGGGATTTCTGGGTCATATGGTAATTCTATGTTTAACTTTTGGAGGAAGCTCCCTGCTGTTTTCCACAGCAGATGTGCCATTTTGCATTCCTACCCCAGTGCACAAGGATTCCAATTTCTCCACATTCTCAGCCCTTGTTATTTTCTGTTTTTGCTTGTTTTCTTTTTATTTATTTATTTATTTTTTATAATAGCCATGTGAATGCAAATGTCTCCATTGCCGTGAGGATTGGAGAGGTCGGGAGTGGAAGCACTCTGAACACAGCAGCTGGGAGGCAGCTCTTCCATGTCTCATCTTTGAAGCATCAGTTGTGTCTTGCCTGCCCCTCTTCCACTTCTCCCACCCTTGCATGCCAGGACAGACCACTGAATGCTCCCACTGTCCCCTGTCTCCTCTCGGCTGCCCCTGGACAGTGGCCAGCTGTCTTTGCCTAGATGAACCTGACCATGTTGCTGACCAGCTTGAGGGCCTGAGCATGCTCCTTGCCACCTAAAGGAAAAGACCCTTAAAAGCCCCCAAGTTTCACCACTGCGGTGAGTTTCATGTGAGTGGTGGCATAGTCAGGACCTGGCCTTGCCACTTCCCCCATCTCCTGAGCCACACTCTGTGCTGGGTACTTGGCTTCCAGCCAGTACACCCATCAGGCCCAGGAGGCTGCCCCTACCCTCCTTGTGCATTTGCTATTCCTATGCCTGAAGTGTCCAGAGCCCCACCTTTCATCTGGGGAGTACCCACTTCATTCATTGAGACTTTGCCCAGCCTGCTGCTCCTATATGGGCTGACCTTGCTCCCAAGTACCCCCCACAGCCACAGCTCATGGTGCTGTGGTAGAGTCCCCCCCACCCCACACTGCATGGCCCCTGGATGGAGGGGACTTGCATGTGGGCACACACTATGCCCTTAAAATGCTGAAGAGATGCAAGCGGAAAAGAATGAAGAGAGAGCTGACAAGAGTGCCAGAGTGGTGGCATTGTGGAATTGTATATGCTTCTATTATTACTGTATGGATGAGGAAGACTTCTACAACTTTCATGAAGTTCCTGAGAAAATAAAAGGAAAGTGTCCCCCTGGTGGTTTCTCCTCCATAAAAGAGTCAAGTACATTTGTATGATCACGTGTGTGCTTCCCTACTGTGTATTTGCTTAGTGCGGGGACATGCCTCACTCATCTCTGTATTCTGCAGCCCAGCACAGAGTGAAGAATTTGCTGATGTTGAGCACAGGTCTTCCTGGCGGTGGGGGAGATGGAAGCAGTAAAGTGTGTGTGTGTATTTGTGTGCATTACTAAAGGAGAGTGTGATGGGGTTGGAAGGGCATAGATGTGCATGTGTGTGTGGTTGCAGGCATTTGTGTGTGCATATGCATGGAAGTGGGAGGGCATGTGTATGGGAGGATTGTGGGATTATGTATCTGTTTATGTGTGTGTGGTTGTAGGGGCCTGTGTGTGCATGCATGTATAGTTGTAGGAGTGTGTGTGTCTATGCATGTGGTTGGAGTGTGTGTGCATGTGTGCATGGTTGTAGGTTGTGTGTGTTTGTGTGTGTGATTGTAGGTGCCTGTGTGTGTATGTGTGTGTGGCTGGAGTGTGTATCTCTGTGTGTGTGGCTGTAGGTGTGTGTGTGCATAGTTGTAGGGGCATATGTGCGTGGTTATAGGAGTGTGCATGTGTGTAGTTGTAGGTGCATGTATGTGTGTGGTTGTAGGTGCCTGTATGTGCATGTGTGCATGGCTGTAGGGGTGTATGTCTGTGTGTGCCTGGCTGTAGGAGTGTGTGTGATTATAGGAGTGTGTCTGTGTGTGGTTGTAGGTGACTGTGTGATATGTGCATGGTTGTAGGGGCATGTGTGTGCATGTGCGTGGTTGTGTGTGTGTGTGTGTGTGGTTGTAGGTGTAGGGGTGTGTGTATGTGTGTGGTTGTAGGTACCTATGTGTGTGTGTGCATGGCTATAGAAGCATATGTGTGTATGTGTGCCTGGTTGTAGGAGTGTGTGTATCTGTGTGTGGTTGGAGGGGTGTATGTGTCTGTGTGTGTGGTTGGAGGGGCACGTGTGCCTGTTTGGGGAATTTGTAGGAGTATGCATTGCATGTGTGTGGCCAGGTTGTGCTGTATTAATAAACAACCACTTATCTCAGTGGCTTTACACAAGAATTTAGTGCTCCTTACAGAAGACTGGCAGGGGCTCCACTCTTACTGCCACTCAGGAACAGAGGCTGATGAAGGTCCCATCTCACATGAGCTCTTCCATCACCAAGATGAGTGGAAAGAAATGTGCTAAGTTGTGCACTTTCTCTTGACACTTCTGCCCAGGAGTGACACACATTGTTTTGGCTCATGTTTTATTGCTCAGAACAAGTCACGTGGGGAGACCTGGCAGACTTGTGAACAGTTCTGTGGACAGCCACAGGGGCCATGAGCCACTGCAGACCAGCTGGAAGGGCCATGGTTCCTTTCAGTACAAAACTGCCTTAGCAAGGTGCTGGGGGAAGTTGCTGGCTCTGGCTGCTTCTAGCTGCCATGTACTGGAAGCTGGCTAGAAGTTTGGATACCCTTGGAGGCACTCAGATTAAGTAAAATTCCAATTTGAAAAATACAAGT